AGGCAGCCAGGTTTATCAGTAAACACCAGACAGCCTTTTGCTTCTTTTGCCAGTCAGCACTTTAATGGACATGATATTCCCTGTGAATCCAATCACAAATGACATGATGTACATCACAATAAGAGCAATAGTGTTGGGCTCTTTGATTGTCAGGAGCAGAGTATTTTTAAGCTCAGTATTTGCGTACAGGAAGAAATCACTGCTCAAATTACCTGATCATGCCGATTGGTTGTTAGCCAGTAATAAATAAAAAGGATTTAGTTGTGAGTCATAGAGATGTAAAGAGTAATTCATTTTTCTTCTACAGCAACGATATAAGAATGTCCAACTCTTTTTAAAGCGTTTTTTTATAGCTAAAGTAAAACAGCAGGCATGGTTAATTCAGTCATCTGCATCTGCATCATTAAAGCAGTGCATTTTCAATGTTTGATGTGGAAATGGTAACAGATGCCTAATTGTATTTCTTGCTGTCCTTATGAGTACAATCCCTCATTCACTATTTCTGATAATGAATATACAGTACTAATTTGTATATTAAAAATATAACAAATAAAACAGATTTGCTTCTTTGAACAGAAACTTTCATGTGACTAAGGTATCTTTTTATGTTTTGTAAATATATCATTTCCAGTCTATTATTAAGCTTCCAACCTATTATATATATATATTGTAATGCAATTCACTGTAGTTTTTAAAAATTAAATGTTTTTTAAAGCTATTAATAAGAAATTCTTAAAAAATACTAAATGTCTGCTTTGGTCATTTTATCACAGTAAAATGTTAACAGCATAAGCTTTAGCCTTAATGTAATTAATAACTAAGACAGACCTTGACAATTTAGTTTATTAAAGATTTTGATATTTACTCAAATCATATTTACTGAAATAACTTAATAGAAAGATGTTCAAATCTACCTGGGGTGAGTTTCCCGAAAGCATCGTAGCGCTAAGAACATCGTGAACTCGCTCTTAAGATCGATTGTTAATTTACAAGTGTTTCCCAAAACCTATCGTAACTAAAGTAGAACGTTAAATCCTTCATAATCTACGTGCTCCCCAACCCACTCGTTAATCACTAAGTGTTTCTTAAACTGGCTTCCTCTTGCGCCAACCTTAGCGACAGAGATCGCCAGACAGAGCATATTCAAATTCACGTCATGGGAATTTTCTGGAAATATAGAATACTAAGATTTTATATTAAGGATTTTGGTATTTTGTTGTACTATGTAAGAGGAAATTCGAAAAAAGAACATTTATTTCTACAGTAATTAATTTATTAGTCATCTTGGGTAAATTTCATATTCATAAGTCAAATGTTTTAATAATACTCCCTCTTTTAGTACTTTTGGGGTGGGGTTTTAATTGTATTTAAATTCCAAAAAGAACGTGAAACATGTAACATGTACATGTATTACAATGTAGCGCCACGCAGGGCGGGCTGAGAACAGCACCTGGGGACTACCGGACTGTACATAGTGGGACGGAGGCTGATACAGTCTCTTCCCTTCGTGTGTGTGTTAGTGTAGGTGCAGCGCTGTAACCCCGGTCCCTTTGTGTGTACCTTTCCCAATTTGAGTGAATAAATGTGTTGTTCAACCCCACTCCCTGAGTCCCACGCCTGCTCCATTCCGTATGGAAACCTGCGGTTGATACAATATTTAAAGTTCGAATGCCGTTTTATGTTCTGTCATGATTGTTGACGGTAAAGCTTACACTTACTTGTTTTTATAGGTCCTGTATTTGTTGAGTGACATGTGCCAAGCTTAGTTGTTAATTTTTCCATTGAGTTCCAATACACCCAATAACTATAAATAACAACAGTTTTTTTTCTCATGGAACACTGTGATTCTTAACAATGGCAGCGCGCCAAAAATATTGCTTTAAATCAAAGACGTCGTGCAGGACGCATACACTGTCCACACAGTTAAACTTGGTTTTCTTTTACGGCATGTCAGTCATTTATTTTCTTTTCTCTTAGAAACAATAAGGGTCCCATTTTGTACCCGTCTATACACTTTCGATTAAATGGTTGTTAAATTATGACGTCATGTTTGCTTCATATTCCCACACAACTTAATTTCATCCCACTGAAGAACCAAAACCGACACCATATAATGAAAGTATTGTCAATCAATTGTTTTTCAATCGACTTGTGATGCTTTTTGCTAAGCGACTTCAGGGGAGGGGTTAACAAAGAAGTACTTTATACTCGCTCGTTAAATGACCGATTAAGAGGGGTTTTGGGAAACGCACAAAAAAATAGCTCGTACGTTACGTACGTACATCGTAAAGTTGCTTGTTAGTCTCTAAGATTAATCGTTTTCGGGAAACTCACCCCAGATTTTAATGAACACAACTATTTTTAATCTATAGCAGAAGTTACAGCAAATTGATTTTTAACTCATTTATTACCAGTTAAAACAGTGCCCGATTAACAAATAACTTTGACAGGCAGTCCTACAAAGTTCCCATGAAAACCTTTAGAATAATAAACCAAAATAATGACATATCGTAATAAAAGTATTCCCATTTAAAAGGGAGAACCATAACTTACAAATTATAGAGAAAATTCACAGTGTATAGATTGTAATGAGAAAAATAATCTCTCTACCAGATGTATCTTCAACCACTGTAGCAGACATTTTTCACCATCCACATCATTTCATATAACAAAACCAAGCAGTCATGTACAGTAATTTGATCTTGAGGGATGCTGTAAAGCAACCTTTGGACAGTTAGTATGTACTGTGATTGTACTGTGATTCCTGTCAAATACATACTGTACTCTTTTGGGAATGGCACTTCTTACAGATGTGGCAGATGAGCTGTACATCCCTACTTAGACACAAATGAATAATGTTAACCATACTAGAAGAAATTTGCAAAGCAAAGCATTACAGGCAGCAACAGATGTCAGACTTTAATCCAGTAATGAATGAAAAAATGAATTAATAATATGACCGCTTTATTCTTCAAATGGATCTTCTGCATAATCTATATAATCTCAGCATAGTCAATGAATGCCATCTGTATTATAACAGTAGTTCATGCATTCTATTCTGTCCACCTGGTCCATGGGCTGTCCTAACAAGAGCAAGTGTAGAGGAACTTTGCAGGTACAGTAGGCCCTTATGTCATTTATATTCTGTTAGAAACCATATAAAGCACATCTTGAAAGAATGATAAATCTGTCATCACTCGGACTGGATTTCTCTTGTCTGCAGACACTATTTATTTAAATTCTGCATTTCTTTTCAGACAGTGATTAACTTCCACTTTTTTTTAGATTTTCTTTAGAGCACACCTCCAGGCCTCCACATGGCATGCATCGTGCTGTTAGTAATTATGATGCCATCTTGCATGAATTTTTAAAATAAACCTTGTTCTCCCATACAGTGCTATAGACAAAATCCAAATAAGGCAAATGGATGCATCAGAAATACAAATTCACCATTTAATAAAAACAAATCATCATGTTATTAAGGAAAAAAGAATCATCTTAAATTCAAGTAATTTAAGACCTGTAGGAGGAAAGACTTCAAAAACATACACAGGACAAGATTTTTCTCTCTAAATTTCATCTGGAAAAATTGATGAAGAAAGCATACAGATCCAGTTTCCATGTGATTTACTGTTAGACACCTAAATACATAGATCAAAATAATTGTGAGTCTCTAAGCAAACTGCACTGCAGTTATTTGTTCTCTGAAACTGGCAGCTATCATGTTAGATATGTGCTGCACAGATTTCCTTATACATTTAACCGTTACATTATACAGTTAACCGTTATGGTTAGTTACAGCTTACCGTTATACAGTACCACAATACAGCAAATGAAGAGCTGTAGCTTTTCATTTTTTTAATTAATCAAAAAAGAAACATCTTTTTCCAAAGTTTTTTCAAGTTTAATTCCATTGTCTTGCTGCATAAGTTTGAGAAAATATCTTACTTAATCAGGCTTTGTCAATTAGTTGCAAAACAAAATAAAAACTGGTGGAGTGTGTGACAGTATTTCTACATTTCCTTGTGGCTAACACAAGTTCAGGCTAACACCCAAGGAAATAAGAGATACTGTTCAGAAGCCATTGACACAACACTTACAACAGCTGCTGAAGACAGAGGTAGTACCCAGGGATTAAAGAATGACTACTGTAGCACCCATCCATAAAGAGGTTGAGAAAACTGCAGTAACTTTTGTATCGGTATGTCTCACAGACAGAACTGCTATAAACAATTACAAGACCTAAACTGAGGATCACCTATTGCATAACCAATTTTAGATGATTTTAAACAAATAACAACAGTAATTCAAATATATAGGGTATTTGATACTGTGCATTTAAGTTTTCACAGACTTTGGTAAAATTCCTCAGACAAGGCATTCAGGGAATTTTGAGCATTTAGATTGAATATTGATAAAACAAGGGGTATAGAGTGGTGTATATTCAAATTAGGGTGATGTAATTAGTGGGATACCACAGAGATAAGAGAACCATGTCGTAAGCAACCATTACTTAACTTTTTCTAAAAAAAAAAGTTTTTTAGAAATGCCACATCCACAGAGATACTTTTACATTGCGAGCACAACTAAATTGTTCATACACTGCACTTTCCAATAATGAATATCAGTTCTGCTCTCCATCTATAGTACATAACTGCTAGAAATGCAGAAATGCTAACTCAGCATTTATTCACACCACTCAACGTTCATGAAACCATTAATCTACATCCATCATATAGTCAGTAAAATGATTTTTTTTGTTTTGATTGTTTTATATCTTGACATACAGTAACATGCAAATTCATTGAATTTGTAATTTATTATTTCTGAATGTGCTAAAACTTGCTAATTGTGGAACTTACTATTACAATGGGACGGCATTAAGCCATGGTCATTTAACACATTACAATATATTCTGTCAGGCCTTGAAATAATGATGAATTTCTTTAACAGTATTGACATGACATGAATAACACAAGACTACACACAAAGAATGTATTTAATTAATTTAATGTGTTGTTTATTTAAAGACCATATATTTTCTCTTAAATATGGTGTCCAGGCACACAGTCTTTAGGTTCAGATGCATGAGATTAAAAGAGATATTAACATTAGCTCTTTGTTAAAAAAGTTTAATCAGAAATGATTGTCATAATAACTAAAGATTCATAACAAAATTCTCAGACAATGAGTAAAGAAACTTTTTTTAGCTTTACATTTCTTATAGAAAGAGCAAATGTTTCTAAGTAGGTTTTGTCAGTAGACACAAGCCCCTTAATAGATTCTTAATCTAATAAAAGGGTTTCTTAGTGATCTCCACTGAAGAGATATTTATGTCATTTAACACTTGTACTTTTGTTATTGTCTTCAGGTCCTCAATTCGATGCTTGTACTGCATTATCTTGGATTCATCAAGGAAGACATGGAAGTTTTCATGATCGGAATAAATTTCAATCTGTTAAAAAGATTGAGATATAATATATAGCATCACCTTCTGTAATTAAACATAATATTGAGTAACCAGCCAATGACAAACAATACATTTAATTATGTTTCCTGTTATCTAAATCAAAGACATGGAATGTTTTGGAAAACTACTGCATATTAATTGTTTAAAAAATAATGAAAATACATTTTAAAATATGAAGATAAATTGAAAGTACTTGTTAAATATACTGTAAATATTCCATTAAAGCCTACTTGAGGAACTATGACCTCAATCACTGTTGTCATATGATTGACATGTTTCTGAAGTTATAGAGCTTATAGGAACTTTGAAATACCTGAAAGGGCTCCTCTGCCCCAAAAGGGAAGGTAGTACATCGCTCCTCTTGACCCCAGTGATTGGACACAAAAGAATTGCAAACGATGTCTGATTCCGTAAAGCGAGGGTTAAAGTGAAATGCTATTTTGTCGTCTCGTTCACAAACAAAGTTAATCTCAAATCTGAGTGAACAAATGAGAAAAGGCAAAGCAGTGAGTTTCTTTCTTTGTATCTAATGCAGAAATATTAATAAAACATTAATTTTAACAATAATTTATCTTTTCTAAGGATTAGGTGTTTATTATTTATTTTGATTTAGGCAGAATGGAATTTGCTAAAGAAATTAAAGCACCTAAAGACCCATGAACAAGTTTGTTTGCTAAATTTATTCATGACAATTTGAAACTAATTTACACAACATGTATTGTAGTATCTAAATGTTAATTATGCAAATTGAAAAGAATGATGGCTGAATATTGTATGTAGAAAATCCCATTAGCACTATTGTGTTTTTTTCCTTTAAAAGGTAGAAATGAATTAATCATGCTTTTCATGCAACTGCAGAAAGGTCATCCTGATTTTAACTGAGGTCCATAATATCCACAGATACCATGGTGATGGTCCAGACAAAGCAGATTATTACATTTCCAGACATTTTGTTCATATACATTTACATACACAGTAAGAGATTTATTTCTTTTGCCAAATTATACACGCATGTACAAAAAGTCTGGATTGCACATTTTAAACTTTTAATGATTAAAATGGAAGATTTATTTATCTTGTCATAAATTTGTATACCAATGGTATCATATGCTCTGTCCATGAATCTACTTACTTAGTGGGGTACATAAACATAGTCCAGAGGTACAAGTCTGAGGGCTTACTAGAACTACTTAGCCTCTATCTCCTATCCTCTGTTGTACTAGCTTCCCATTTTTAGTGTGTTCTTTAAGATTATCCAGCACATGTGTAAATTACTGAACAATTTTAAGCGTTAATAAATCTTAAAGGTTTATTGCATGAGCATAATCCAATGCTCTTTTTGAAAAGCACTGAGCGAGGCAGCTGTCATTGATACAATCCAAATAATTGACAGCTGAGTTACTTCCTTATTTAAATGTGTGCTCTCTTTGTGGCAGGTGTATAGAGTTACCAGGGGGGCTTGTGATACTGTGCACATGAGGTCTGTGAGACACTGCTGAAAACACTGCTGAAAGACAGCTAGAGAGAGAAAGTTCTGAAGGAACAAGTCAACAACAATCTTTTTTAAACTTTGTTTTGAAAACAAAAATTAATTACTGCAAAGACTAATGAAAGTGAAAGAGGCAGTGTGAGGCTATCCCAAAAGACCTGAAAGTTAAGAAGACAATATAAGGTTATCCCAACAGACTTGAAGGTGAAGGAGGCAGAGTGAGGTGAGGAGCGAATTGAATTCAGCATTTCTAATGCATAGCAATTAGTTTGATTGATTCATTGAGGTTGAAGTGTACTGCAGAGGAACACGGTTTAACCAGCAAAGTCAGGACACCCAACCAACAGATCAGGTGCTCAGAAAATCAAAAAGAAAGTTAAACCCGCAGTAGTAACATCTAAGGATTTGCAGGCCTCTCATGCTGTGGCTACTGTCAGTGTAGAAAAACCAAGGATGAACAGGAGTGGTTTTCACAGGAGGGTAGCCAAGTAGAAACTTCATCTAGAATAGTAGTAGGGAGCATCTTATTAATAGTAGGGAGGATCTTTGGTGTCTCAGGATCTGGACATCTTGCTATTGTTGGTAGAACCATGAGTTAGGCAAACTCAGAATGAGAATATCGGGCCATCCATTTGGCATCTGAAGCTGAGCTGAAAGTGGGTAATGCAGCAAAACAATGATTAAAAACATACAGGTACAAGTAGATCTACAAAAAATGGTTAAAAAATAAATTTCACCTTTTTTAATTTTTTAATTTAGTCTTAACCTAAACCATGTTGATATTTATTTATACCTTTAATCAGGTAATCTTTTTTTCCTAATCTTTTATACAGACTTTCATGAAGATCTAGTACTGTATGTTTTATGTCTAAAATATATGAGAATACCAAACTACCTAGGGAGTTCACAAACTTTTTTGGCCCTGTGCATCTAAATATTAGCTGAATTCTACTCACTTGCTTGCCTGAAAAGGAGGATCTCCTTTCAGAATGAAGCTCCATCCTGGACATAGGCCCTCAGGACAAGCAGCTTCAAACTAGAATAGCAACAGACACAAACAGCTATATGACTTGGAAGGAAGTTGACCTTTAAGAACAAACCTGCATCTATGTATAAAAAGCTGTCTCCATAAAAACATTTGTGAACTTAATGCCATATCTTTGTCTTTACAAATGAAACATATATTATTAATTAACAGCAGTAAAGATTAGGACAAATACTCTTAGAGCTAAGTTTTGAATAAGTTCCCTTATTTATTTCTTGACTTTCAGTTTCCATTAAAGTGTTTTATAATCATTTTAGATTATGCTTATTAAGCTTTTAAGGGCCAAATGTTATGCCTTTCAACTACATTTGAATACATCATTGAAAATAATGGACCTTTGTTATTGTGTTCTGAAGATTATATTGGGCACAGGAAAAAAAAGGCTCAAGTGACATGACAATAATGGACTAGGGTTGTTAGAAACAAGTGCAAAAAGACAAATTCCTAATGCAAGAAATTGTATATGGTTAATAAAGTGGTCTTATCTTAAGTACAAGAGCAGAAACAGAAACAATTTATTGTAAATTGTCATCTCCTCCTGCAAAAATAATAAACTTCATTGAGAATGTTATTTCCAATGTTGATGAAATATGTAGTGTGATGCAATGTGGTTAGCATGGCTGCCTGGCAGTGCTGGGGCCCTTGGTTCAACTCTGGATCTGGGTGCTATTGGGAGTTTGTATGTTCTCCCTATGTGTGGGTTTCCTCTGGGTGCTTGTGTTTCTTCTTACATTCCAAAAACATACTGATAGGCTATTTGGCTTTGGCAAAAACTGACCCTGGTGTGAGCGTGTGTTTGTGTCTGTGTGCAAAGAACTGGGGTCCCATCCAGGGTGTATTGCACTTAATGCCTGTTATGTGCTGGTTTCCAGCTCCCCCGTAACCCTGTATGGGATGAAGTGGTTTGAAAATGGGAAAAGAGATTCAGTAACTGGGTAGCAAAGTCACAGATAACTTTGACAGTCTGATTGCAGACAGTAAATTGGACAGGGTTGGTTGATACAAAGACATTGGTGGTATCATGGTACTGTACCTATAATACTTTAAGGAGAACACTGGGTCTCATTAATTTAACATTAAATGACAATTACATCATCAGAGAAATGTAACTTTGGTTAGCTTTAACAAATTTAACAAACAAGACCAAATAAATGTATTTATTGCAAACAGAAAGGTGATTTAGGCCCCAACTAGCTCTGTTGGTATAGCATGAAACTCATAATCTCAGGGTAATGGATTCTTGTCCCATGTCAGGCGCCAGGTCCTCCATGTTAGAGGCTGGGCACAAGGCTAACAACCCTATCCCGTAAAAAAAAATATGTTATGGAAACAGCAGCAGGATGTTGCTGCCCTACATGCTGGAAGGCATAATGGACAAACATCGACATCCATAAATGTGATTTAGACTCCATCAGTTCTGGATCACATTAGCATACTGTATGTAATTAGTTTTAGTTTAAATACTTATTCAGCACATTGGCTGAAGCCCAGGAACATGTCAGGAGCAGTAAACATCATTTTTATAATACAAAAATAAGAATTAACATCAGTCCTCAATCACCAGCAGACTGATGCACAATGACAATTTCTCCCATTTATTATGTTTGCGGTTTCCCTCAAGAACCACAGCAGCATAACTCTACAATATCACCAGTTCTAATCGATCTTCTGAATGCTGACTATACCCTCATACTGTATGTCAGCAGGGGATATATGTTCTGAAGAAATACTTTATGCAGAAGATACTTTATGAGGAGATTTATATACATTCTCAGGGTATAATTTAAGGACCCACAAAGATTAGGGATACTAACACTCCCACCTATATATAATCACATTCCTAATTAACTGTTGAGTCATTTCTGAAAAGAAATGAAAAGAAAAAGCTCAGATTAAGAAAAAGAAAAAGTAATACAGTAAAAATAGAAGTGCAGTATAGAAAAAACAGAAATAATATTGCAGCATAGTTCCAATGTACATTATTGTGATGAACAGCTTTTGAATTTTTGTATTGGGGGAAACAAATTAACGGAGGTGTGAGGAGAATAATTTACTATGATAGTATATTTCCATATAACAATTACAACTTGCTGAGCTGTTGGAAGAATGGAGCATCCAACTAGAGCTTGTTCAGTTTAATAGTTTTTTTTTACAAAAGCATCTCTACACCTTCAGAGAGGCATATACAGTACAGGAACAGATTAAATTATCCAACTATGACTGTTTAATGCAGTTAATCATTTAACATAATATTTGCCTGTCTCTGGCATGATATATTCAAAATTCTTTTAAATTCACTAAAAATCCCATACTTTAACTTAAAAATCCACAGATAAAATGTGGCACACCTGTGCTGGATATTGGCTATCACCCTAAATAACTGAATGCAATGCCTGCAAAAACCTTACTGTCTTGTATTTTAGTTGATGACATTTTATTATCACAAACGTGAACCTTTAGAACTGGGTTCTACAACACTTGATCCTGGAGAGCCACAGTCTTTCAGTTGGAGGTGCTCTTAAACGGTCAGTGAGTCAGTGAGCAAAGATATGGAAAGCATGTGGAAACTCATGCTTTTTAGTTATTGATTAGTCCAATTGTGTTATTCAGCAGACAGCAAGGATAAAAGCCAGTATAGCTTTTATCAAGTGTCTCTACAGACTCAGGGCTGCAGACAACGTTTTATCATATATATTTATAAAGTTAGTTCTTCTTGCCCAAAAGAGTTACATTTATTAGTGCATAATAAATGAGAAAAAAATTCAGCTCATGATAAAAGAAATCCATGAAAAAGTACATGTTTTTATGGTAGTTCAAGTAGGTTGCTGTGTCAGCATGCATTGGCTCCAAAAAGGAGCAAGTAAAGAGAAGAAAAGAAACACAACATCTCAGCTGTGGAGCCTTCTTTGGGTGTGACATTTCTTTACTAGATAACCTTTCAAGCTGCTGATAATGTCATCAGATTCAAATAATGCTCCCAGTGTTATTGTTTGCATCTGGGATCCAGAAGAGGTTCACCTGATAGTGAGTGAGAGAAATCCAGGCCCATTTCGAATGTATACACTTTGTTATAACTACTTAATTTTCACTGAAAAACTGTTTTTTTTGTTTTATTCAAATATTTTGTGCATGAAAAAGTAGCCTGTTCTTTTTTATTTTTTTCTTAATTGTATCAGAATATGATGGATAGAAAATGACAAATAATGAATTTTAAGAACATGTTTGAAACTGATGACGTATGACTGCACAATTTACCTTTCCCTCCACAGAATTAAATGAGAAAATTGAATTTGGGGTGTAAATAATTAAAATATTAGTTGGGTTAATTGAAGTCATAAAAGTAAAGTCCATACATCACAATATAACCTTAATAACCTAATAGAAATTAGCCCTCATCCTCACATTGCAATAATCTAATTTGCTCAGAGGAAGGTATTTTTTTAGAAACACAACGGAATGCCCTGGTGTTCTTATTAATGGTCAATATTTCACACCTGGAGCTAAGCTAGAAACTCAAGGCACTGTAGAAAAAAAGAAAAATCTGAAAGATATATGGAAAAATATGCAATCATTATTTATTTTATAATTGCAATAGCTAATATAACTTTTTAATATATATTTTTAATAAATTTTCAGGGCCTGCAAGCTATATCATTGCAGGTCCTGTCTTCACAAAATTTAGCTTTAATTTTTATCCAAGCTACTGTAGCAGATACAAAGGGCAAGGACTAAACACAACTTAAAACATATATGTTTCTTGTTTTTTTTTCCTGGATATTTCCGTCTGGTGAGTAGCATACAAAAATCTGATTGTTTACACTCAGTACCCAAGGGGTTCGTCTGAATTTAAGCCATAAATTAGGCCTTTACATTGCTGCGATATTACAAAATGCTTGAGGGACATCAATTCAGGCAGAAATTGACTCTGATTGTCTGTGATAATAAGTAATGCTGAACACATCTACAGTATTAATTTATTTTGTCTAGAAGATCAGTACAATCTTAAGATGAAAACTTTTCAAAATGCATGCCATAGAATGACACTACAAGACAAATAAAACAATACCTCTGATTTACATGTACCTGTGTCCTTTGTTTCCTTTTGATTTTGTTTTCTTTTTGTTCCTTTGTACCAAGTTTGGCCCACACTTCACGCATTGACCCTGACAGTATGGTAATAAGGTGCCATCTGCAGGAGTCATTCTTATGTTTTATTTTAAGTTTTGTCATTTATCAAATTAATATTTCTGTTAGAATGTTTTAATTCTCTTTCTTCCTGCCTGAATGTTGTTGGGTGTAAAACAAACTTATATCCTACTTGAAAAGCTGTCACAGCTCTAAAATGTGAGATTAATCTTCTTAATAAATAGAAAGGATGGACATGGTCTGTTGATTAAATAAAAGTGTGAAATAATGTTAATATTATGGTGCAAAACGCGAAAACAAAAATGAATGCACAAACGAAAAATGACACAATGCAAATAATAATGGGGGAAAAAACTAAAAAGAATGCACACATAAAAATGTGTTCAAAATGAAAATAAGTTCTCACAACAGACATGACATCTGTTGTTAGGTGAGAGGGCAGCTGAGTGGAGTGCATGTATTGAGTAATTGATTAGATGTTTTTGTGAATTTTCTAAAATCTTAAAAAACACCACAACAGTAGGATGTTCTGGTCGTTTTGTGGAGAGCAGCTTGATAAAAACCATTAATTTTGCCCACATTACAGGAAATAAGTAGATTTCTTCTTCTTGAAAACCTAGAAGGGGCACCCAGTTTTGTTTGGGATGTGTCACTTTTGTTTGTGAACTTTTTTGTTTGTGTTGTATTTTTTGTTTGTGTACTCTTTTCTGTTTGTGCACTCTTTTATGTGTTGTCAGTTTTTGTTTGTGTGCTCATTTTTGTTTTTTTTGTTTGCACTTCTGGGCCACCGTGTAATGTTGAAACAAAGAGCTTAACTTTCCAGTCATTTAAAAGCTGCTGTTAATCATTTAAAACCATGGCTGGTCAGCAAGGAGAAAGCTTTCACAATGTAGTGAATTGAAAATACACCAAGTGTCATTGCCTGTTCACTTATAAAATTATGAAAAAACATCAATCAGCCTGACAGAATTCACATGTGGCACTTAAACGCAATACAATGAAATTCTTATGTAACTACTTTCCACTTCCACTACTTTGACACTTGCTACTTTCATAATAAGCACTACACCTTTGCTAGCCTCCTGGCTTAACAGACTTAACAGGCTTAACAGACTTATTCATCTACTTTAATTTATAATCAGTGATTTTCAGATGCAAAATGTTGTAACTAGATAAGCTTACATAAATTAACATTAAATATCTTGTTATCAATAACTAGAAATGACTGGAATCTTTTCAGGACAGAACTTTGTCATGCACTGTTAAAAAAGTCTTTCACTATTGTAGAAAATCATATAACAGTCTTTTTTTTGTCGGGAAAAAAAAGGGAAAACTTGGAAGGGACAAAACAAAACAGCTAGGAATTGCTTAATATGCTTTCAGTAACTGCTTTTTATGTTTATCTTTTAATAATGATACAAAGTGAGTTGGCTGGAGAATCTACCTAAAGAATGCTGTATTGTAAGTAACAATAGCAGCAATGATTGAAATAATTTGAGCTCAAATGTGACTCTCTGGAGATCATTATTAGGAAAAAATACTCTTTTAACATAAAAAAAATACTGCCAAAGAGGTGTGCCTCTGAATACAATACAATATTGTATTGAAGTCTCACAGGCACTGGTTTTTAAGGAACTGTTGATGGGAAAAACAATAGTTATTATGGAATTAATGTGAATTTCTTACCCGTAAAGTCATTTTTGTCTGCAGTCAGCAAGGGCTCCCTGATTTGGTTGTAGAATCCAGTCAGTATTGTTTTCAGCTCTATCTGAAATTTAAAGAGCAGACAATAACCACGTGACCTGTGGTCGGAAATAAGGATTGTCAACATTTTCTGACTTCACATTAGGCCAGTTCATTACCGCATAGTGTATGTGAAAGCCTGAAAGTTGGCCGCGGGGCTTTGTTATTACGTTTTTTTTGGAAGACTCTGATTAGGCAGAAACAAGACTCTTATGTTTCTTTCAAAAAGGTAAAGAGCTCATAGTTACATATGTGACTAGCGAGCTATAGATATATAATATAATATAATATAGTATAGACATTAGATGTTACATTGCACAAAATTAACAACATTCCTTGTTATACGATACTACTAACAAAGACATTAAGTGGTTCAAATGATGCAAAACACTGACTAAATACTAATAGGAGGATCTTATGAAACCCTTGTTCTTAAACTAACTGCCAGTACAACAGCAGATCTAAAGTCACCCACTAAAACCTTTTCATTTTAACCCTCTTTGTAATAGGAAAAAAGTGCTTGCTAGGCTGTGTTGTCTGTATGGAATGTTAAACACCACATAAAATAATTTTATGATAATATATATAAATACATATATATATAATATTTATATTTTTCAGTCCTATGCTTTTAAGTGTAAAGGTATCATAGAGTACAACCCACTGTATTAGAAGACCTTAGCCCTTTGAGTTTGCTGATGAGGAAACTTAATAAATAAGACATTGGAGAAATCTGTAGTTCTTAATGTATTGAAGTAAACAAATTAGGGGTGAGAATGTTACAGTTCAAAAATCTTATATTTGAAAGGTAAAAAAATGCTTACACAAAAGGCCGAATCAAAAACATGTTGACAAGTAAGTTTTTTTGTTTAGTGCACATCACATTGTTTTGAAGAATTACCTAATTTTAATCCCCTGGATTAATGATGTTGTGGTGCTGTCTGTTTGGATTTTCCACCTTGCTGAATATGTCTTTGTTTTGGAATTTCCTGTTTAAATGTAAAAATAACACAGATCAAAGTGCATTAATCTCTCAAATATTTATCTGCAGGGCATTGCAAATTCTCTGCATTTTTATAACCTTCCACAGCTGCTATTTTTTCACATATATAAACTTTTAACTGTGTAAAATGATGCTAATATTTGATTTTTATTAGTTTTATAATTACTTTATATAAACAAGGTTGAGAAACAGACTGCAAATGACGAAGTCCACTTTCAGACAGCAATTTGAAATAGTGGTTAAGGTTCTGGATCACCAAACTGGAGGTCTGACAGTGAAAGTCTGGTACTGTAGGTTCTTCTCTTTTATCACTGAGCAATGTACTCAATTCTAATTTTTCCAGTACATGCCCTGCCCATCTCCAGGTTGTCATTGGCAATCTTATCTGGCAAAAAAAAAATTATGTAATATGTTCAGAGTCATCATTTATAAATAATTATTTTAATCTATGAAAGTGTTAGTAGTATATTATGCTTATTGGCACCCCCCATCAACTTCATAAAGCCAGTCCTGTAACCCTATCTGTAGATGGCTCTGTACTCAGCTTCAATCAAAATTGAAAAACCTTGGGGTTATATTCGATTCTGTCTTAACCCACATGTGCAGCATACTGTCAAAACATCTTTTTTTTACCTTAGAAATATTGCAAGACTATGCCCTATGCCATCATTAACTGTGGCTGAAAAGCTGATCAACGCATCTGTATTCTCTCAAATTGACTACTGTAATGCTCTACTTGCCGGGGTATCTAAATCTACTCTGAACAAACTGCAGTATGTCCAAAATTCAGCAGCCAGAATCCAGACCAGCTCTAGTGCAAGTGCTCACCTCAGTACCTGTCTGACCTATTATCGCCCTACTCCCCACCTTGCAACCTTTGCTCTTCTAATTCTGCTCTCCTTACTGTCCCCCAAGCCCATCTACATTGTATGGGTGACAGGACCTGCCCCTGTTATGCCCCCAGCTGTGGAACTCTCTCCCCAAGGATATCAGAGAGTCACCTTCTCTAAACTTCTTCAAATCCAGATTCAAAACCCTCTTCTTTAGAAAAGCCTTTACTTAACTGGTTCCATTCTTCACCCCTCTGCTCTTCTTAGTACCACCATCCACGGTCTCCTCTATATATTGTAATTGTGTTTTATCTTGTGTATTCTTCTTATTTATTGATGTTGTCATTCTGTAAAGCGCTTTGAGAAGCCACCTTTAAAGGCGCTATATAAAATAAAGTTTATTATTATTATTAAAGAAATTAAGTGGTTCAAATGTTGCATAACATTGATTAAATACTAATAGGAGGATTTTATGAAACCATTGTAATGTCCTTCCATTCATTTTCTTACCACTTTATCTAATGCACAGTTGCTGGGAAGCCGGAGTCTATCCTGGCAACCAACACAAGACAATTTAGAACCTGAAAGGGACACCAGTGCATTGGAATAGGGAATATACTGTACTTGTAGGATGTATTTGGACAGTGGGAGGAACCAGGAGCACTTGGAGAAAACCCACACCAAAACATGGAGAACATACGAACCCCATACAGACAGTACTCCAGGAACTGAACTCAGAGCCCCACTGGTGTGAGGCAGCAATGCTAACCCCGCACCAACTTGCTGCCCACAGTAAATATTTCTTAAGTAGCTTCATGGTAAGGTTGCTTTGCTGCAGGTATAACAGCAGATCACAAGAAATAGCTCAAATCAACAGTGAAGCTGCTAAATAATGATAAGTATAGATGTTTCGTACCAAAATAGAAGAAAAATCTAATTTAATGGAAAAAAGAGAAACGATAAACAGATTTTGAAAACTTGAAACTTGCCGAGAGTCTTGAGTCTTGAGTCTTGAGCTGCCAATATCTTGTAATCACAGCCTTTCACCCGAGGAGAATCTGTGGAAATGATCAAAAATAGTAATTTGTATGACTACAATGTTTACAAGTGAGTGAGTAAGTGAGTCCCAGGTACAATAAACAATGGACCAACCTTGTTTGAAGGAGTGTGAACATGAAGGAGTTCAGAGATTTATGATGGAGTTAAATTATTTAGAGCCTTTTGAGTCAATAAGAACTTGTTTTGAATATGTGACTTTACAGGCTACCAATAGAGAAATTTAAGAGTAGGAGTAATATACTGCCAGGGTCTGAAGTGTGAGTTTAGAACCTAGCTGCAGCGTTTTGGACATACTGCTGTGGAAAGTGTTAGTGTGCCCATAGAACAACGAATTACAGAATTCAAGCCTTAATGTTATTAATACATGAATCAAACATTCAGATAGAAATTGCAGGCAAAATTTCTAAGATGGAAAAAAAATAGGTCATAATCAGATTTTTTACATGGGACTCAAATGACAGGAGAGGATAAAAAACTTCCAAAATCTAAAGGATAGGTGACACCTGCATGGGGAATTACTGTGAAACTCTCCAGAAGACATCTACTGCCCACCAGTAAAATTTCTGTTTTGGCACTATTAAGCTTTAAAGAATTAGATGTCAGACAGAGCTTAATGCCACGCAGAGACATGATAAGTGAAGGAGGTTCGAGATTAAAAGGAAAAGAGGCTTTAATGTACACCTGTCATCTATATAACAATGAAACTGAAAGCCACGTGTGTGTATGATCTGATCGAGAGTCATACCCTGTAAAAGATAAAAATGTTCTAAATGTTCAAAGGTTCAAAGTTACTTAAAAGTGTTCTGTTTTGTTATCAATCGATTATCATATTGATTTAATGCTCAAAAACTTAGGTAGGGAATAGAGATTTTTTTAATTTCTTAAACCTTTAAACTTCCGAGATACAAGAGAAAAACAGAAAAACAGCTAAAATAAATAAATAAATGATCAATATGTTTCACATTTTCAAGGTTACCCTGAACATTCTATCTAAAACTGAATACTAAATGTTTCAGTTTGCTTTTGCAGGTTGTTAACTGTTTTTTACCTCAATAATGTTCTGCAGGTGAAATCAAATTGAAGAACTTTTAACAGTTAAATCCCTTGATTTCAAAACATCCTTTTTACCTGAATAATTTTCTGTCCCTAAATGTGAAAGGAGTATATATAAAAAATCTGGAATTTAATTACATTTTGATGCACTTTAAAACTGTCATCAAAAACTCAAAAATGGTATGTTCGATAAAAACACACAGCAACTATATCAGGTTTAAATGTCCATCGTGTTCTTTTAGGTAAGACCTTTGCCAGGTGTCTCACAAAGAAAACGAAAGGAAAGAGCAGAAAATTATTTCCTATGTAGCTCCTTTTGTCAGAAGTGCTGTAAAAGCCGATGGTCATATCCTGTCTGATTACATTGTGTCTGGGAAACTGCACTTTCCTGCCTGAGGCTATAACAGGAGAAAATGACAAAGCATCACGTAATGAAGCACACTTTCTATTCTGCCATTGAAAGTGTGAATATTGCCAAAGGAGGAAAATGATGAGCATAACACTGTAACATGGTAATATCTGTTTTCATACTTACTGAATTATACATTTAAATGACATGTCTTTTAATTGTTGTGAGTTTTGGATATTGAACTGTGAAAAAAATGTAAAATCCTATCAAAATGATTGTCCATGTTCTTCAAACAGTCACTAGTTTGAGCCTATGCAACAATAACTTCTCCTCACCTCTTCCCTGACTTTATTTTGTTTGGAGACTTAATGAAACACAGGATCTGGAACCTTAGCCTCCACAGGCAAATTCTGTTTTAGGGCCTTTTGGCATGTTCGTTTTCTTTGTTAGGTTTTTAAAATGCAACATTTCCTTTTCGGACTGTGTCCAGTCTAACGGATGCTTTTTAGTTAGGTGGTGATGTACACAATTTTTGTCTGGTCACCATTTCCTTGTGCTATCTTACAAATTCCATAAAACATAAAAATAAAAAAATAGCCATTCAATAGCATGATATTTTAAGTGAACTTTTGATTTAGATGTACAAAGTTCCTTGGAATGCAAATAGCAGGGTTGCTTTATTTATAAAATGCTTTAATTTGTTTGTCCATCCATTCATTATCAGAAAACCACATTCAGTATTCCTAATAACAGTTGTGGTAGACTGGAGTCTACACTGAAAGTATAATGGGCTGCCAGGTGAGACTTTACTCTGGGTGGAATACTAGTTCATTACAAAGCACAGACTATGGACAATTTAGAGACACTGTTTAGCCTAACTACTGTCTCTTGAGAAGATGTGAGGAAACTGGAGCACCTCGAGAAAATCCTTTTTACACAAAGAACATTTTACACAGAAGGTGCTCCAGTCAAAAATCAATCCCAACACCCAAGACCTGTGAGGCAGCACCGCACTCTACTACATATGTACTGTACACAACCATGTTTGTTCTCAAATATAACTTAACCAGGGGAAAATAAATGTGTTCTGTGAAGATACAGTAGTGTGAAAAAGTGTTTGCCCCCTTCCTAATTTCTTATTTTTTTGCATGTTTGTCACACTGAAATGTTTCAGATCATCAAACAAATTGAAATATTAGACAAAGATAACACAAGTAAACACAAAATGCAGTTTTTAAATGAAGGTTTTTATTAATAAGGGAAAAACAAAAATCCAAACCTACATGGCCCTATGTGAAAAAGTGATTGCCCCCTAAACCTAATAACTGGTTGGGCCACCCTTAGCAGCAACAACTGCAATCAAGCTTTTGCGATAACTGGCAATGAGTCTTTTACAGCGCTGTGGAGGAATTTTGGCCCACTCATCTTTGCAGAATTGTTGTAATTCAGCCACATTGGAGGGTTTTCGAGCCTTAACTGCTTTTTTAAGGTCATGCCACAACATCTCAATCGGATTCAGGTCAGGACTTTGACTGGGCCACTCCAAAGTCTTCATTTTGTTTTTCTTAAGCCATTCAGAGGTGGACTTGCTGGTGTGTTTTGGATCATTGTCCTGCTGCAGAACCCAAGTGCGCTTCAGCTTGAGGTCACGAACAGATGGTCGGACATTCTCCTTCAGGATTTTTTGGTAGACAGCAGAATTCATGGTTCCATTTACCACAGCAAGTCTTCCAGGTCCTGAAGCAGCAAAACAGCCCCAGACCATCACACTACCACCACCATATTTTACTGTTGGTATGATGTTCCTTTTCTGAAATGCTGTGTTACTTTTATGCCAGATGTAATGGGACACACACCTGCCAAAAAGTTCAACTTTTGTCTCGTCAGTCCACAGAGTATTTTCCCAAAAGTCTTGGGGATCATCAAGATGTTTTCTGGCAAAACTGAGACGAGCCTTTATGTTCTTTTTGCTCAGCAGTGGGTTTCGTCTTGGAACTCTGCCATGCAGACCATCTTTGCCCAGTCTCTTTCTTATAGTGGAGACATGAACTGAGGCAGGTGAAGCCTGCAGTTCTTTGGATGTTGTTGTGGGTTTTTTTCTGACCACTTGGATGAGTCGTCGCTGCGCTCTTGGGGTAATTTTGGTTGGCCGGCCACTCCTGAGAAGGTTCACCACTGTTCCATGTTTTCGCCATTTGTGGATAATGGCTCTCACTGTGGTTCGCTGGAGTCCCAAAGCTTTAGAAATGGCTTTATAACCTTTTCCAGACTGATAAATCTCAATTACTCTGTTTCTCATTTGTTCCTGAATTTCTTTGGATCGCAGCATGATGTCTAGCTTTTGAGGTTCTTTTGGTCTACTTCACTTTGTCAGGCAGGTCCTATTTAAGTGATTTCTTGATTGAGAACAGTTGTGGCAGTAATCGGGCCTGGGTGTGGCTAGAGAAATTGAACTCAGCTTTTCAAAGATGTGATAAACCACATTTAATTTTGTCTTAACAGGGGGACAATCACTTTTTCACACAGGGCCATGTAGGTTTGGATTTTTTTTCCCTTAATAATAAAAACCTTCATTTAAAAACTGCATTTTGTGTTTACTTGTGTTATCTATGTCTAATATTTCAATTTGTTTGATGATCTGAAACATTTCAGTGTGACAAACATGCAAAAAAATAAGAAATAATGAAGGGGGCAAACACTTTTTCACACCACTGTACATAAAGAACATAAGAGCCTCGGTTAGAAATAATATTAGTTTTCTGCTTTGCATACTTAACATTTATTTTAGAAATAAAACATTGGGCAATGTAAAAAATTGCATAAAGGACATAAATGCATTTAAACAATTTAAAAATGTAATACTACACAGAGTTTGTTCAAGTAGGTAGCTGCATCAGCATGTGTAGACTGCAAAGGAACAAGTAAAGGTTTATACCATGCATAACGACACCCAGAGAAGGCTCCACAACCAAAATGTTGTGCTTCCTTTCTTGTCTTTTCAGCATGGAATAAACCTTTACTTGTTCCTTTACTACACAGAGAGTCTGAAAATGTATTTACGTATATTTGATTACATAGGAACCAATCTAACTGAAAGATGTTTTTGTTTAGGACATAACATTACATGTATCAGTATTTTTTTTACATTTAAAACCCCAAAAATGAAAAATCAGTCAAGCTGTGAGTAAAAAACACATTGGTGAATGCTACATACAGTTGACAGTCTTACAGCATATAGTGTAGTTTTGGCAATCGCTCCACCTTGTGGCTATCTTTCAACATTACTGGTCATTTTGTGTATTTTCACAAGAAAAGCAAAAAATTATTAGGAGACATTTTCCAGGCCTTTTTTTACTTTAATCCTTGAGAGTTATAATTACTGACTAGAAGCATTATACAACGTGTTCTGAAGATCACACAGCCATTTCTACAAAACATTTTTGAGAGCACTTTTACTTTTTCCCAAAGGTACACGCGTATTGAGGCACTCATTATTATTCATCACTAATGTTTTGCATAATAAAAATAAACACACCATGTCCTATATTTTGGATGTGTTCTTAAATGGTGAAGCAGTTTCTCACTTTTCTATGTGATCTCTGCTGTTAATGGGCCCAAATGCATCAGTGATAGATGAAGTGTATCACTGTGAGGTAGTGAGAAGTGGGTTTGAAAGAAAGCCACCTGTTAATAAGATAAAACCAGATTAAACTGAGACCAGATTAAATTATCTGTTCTAACTGAATAACTTCTATCTAGAGGGGATGAGATTCCTCATGAGGGAAACAGCAGACAGGATTGGTGTAGTATTGGCGTCTCCCCTGATCTACTGGGAAAGCTAGGAGGAAAATGCTTTCAAGCATTGTCTAGGCTCCAGTATGGGAGCCTAAGGGAGCTCTCAATTGTAATGGGTTGAGCTGGCTTACATGGTTTTGGGACTCAAGAAAGTAACAGATACTCGAGAAAGTACAGTTTAGACAACATGGAGGGGTATCAGAAGTGCTGGATAGGCTTGGATGCTTGTGTCCATCTGGAAACCTCATTATACATCATATATTATTTACTGAAACAATCAAAATAAAGCATCTTGCTCAAGAGCAATAAGTTACCTCTCACCAGAGATTTGATCCCATGACTCTATAGACAGGAATTCAGAGTCTATACCTTACAAACCATTAAAGTTAAAGTTAATCACTGCTAAGAGAGATTTTGCCACATAAAATCTCTGAAAGATAAGACTGAAGAAAAAATGTAAAGGGATGCAGTCCCTCTTTTTTTGTTTTAAACATAATTTTATAATTTTGCACCACACCCTCGACTTCAAATTGAATTACAATGAAAAGAATTGCAAAGCAGCACAATTAAAAAAACGATCGCTGTGGCAAATGTGACAAAAATAATTGAAAACACAGAATCTTAACATAAATTACATTTAAATTAAATTTAAACCAAATTAAAATTACATTACATTTGATTCTTAGAGGATAAATTATCAACAAGAAAACCATAGGTAGCTGTGCAGTGTTACTCAATGTTGTAGCATATTTCTTCTTTATTATCACCATTTGTTGATACTAGTCTGACTACTTCACATTTTAAGCTTCAATCTGGTTTTATCAATATATCTGCATGCATGTAAGCAATACAAAAGTATTTACAAAGAAAAAAGGTTGCTCCTTAATTCACCAAAATTGGCTGACACATTGGCATTGTTTTACATATAAAGGTACCTTACATATAAAGATGACTTTTATATGCCCACCATCTAGAATTAACTTGTATACTTCTCCACCTGTTGCAATTCAGATGTGGATTTACTTTAAAAAAGAAAAAAGAAAGAGATATCCACCAAAATAAATATGTATGTGGTTACAATATGCACAGAAGGTACAGAAACATGGATTGTAAAAATGAGAATGTGAGGAAATTATACACACAATGTTCTTCTTTTTAATGAGCTGTTTCATCATTCTATAAAAGAGTCCTGGAGAGTATTATAAGCGTTTGTAGACTCCAAGAACATTCTTGCAGTTGGGGCAATAATGGGTCACATCTTTCAAGCTGTCCACACAGAAAGGGATCAAGCAGCATCCATAAATGCAACTACGAGAAAGAGAGTAACATTAAATGTTTGTTATTTTTATTTAAAAAGAGACATGTGTCTTAATAACAAACTTCTTTTGGAACAAAAATCAAAGAGCAGGTTAGTGCAATGTTATTCCTCTGTCTACATGCCCAGTCATCCACTTTAAAACTTTAAAATAGTTGAAACTGTTCAAACATGGTCTGTGTGCTGTAGAAATTAACATTAGGTAAAATGTATTTATTGGCTTTTCTACCCATTTATTTATATAATATTTTAATATATTTTCCATGTTGTCATTAAAAATACTTGATTCAATTATTTATATATTTTTAAAGACTTGTTAAACAGAGGAAATCAGGAAATGGAATACCAGGTTTGTGACTGAGTGGAAGTTTTGTAATTCCAAAGCATTTTCAATACCATACAACAACAACACAAAAACCTTAAACTGTATTGCTCAGCTGAAATGTGTTTTATACTGCTCTTAAAACTGAGAACTTCTTTGTTTTCTTGTATTTTACACCTAAAACATACAGTGCTTTGCAAACGTATTCAGATCCTCTACAGTGTCTCATTTTCTGAAGTCAGAAAATGATGGTTACACAATTAAAAAAAAATCATTTAAAATTTGGCAGCTCAAGATGATTACCTCTAAGGGTTAGATAAGTTACAATAAATGTTAGCAAAAACTAAAGAGCAAAAATTAAATATATTCAGAGAACTGACAATTCAAAATGAAACCTGTGTAAGATTTCATACCAAAAAGGATATATTGTTTTCGTGTAATCATGTATTATTTAATGCTTGTTAGTTAACCTCTGTATAAAGTTGTGCAAATATGTATGCTTTAAACACATGCAGTAGAGACAAACTTGCTATCTTGTCTCAAGTCACATAAGGACCCAATTCATAATTCTGAATAATTCTGACAAAACCCTAATTACTTTTGCACTAGTCTGATTTAACAAAATGCATGAAGCTGAAAGTATTTTTGTTATTAAAGTTTAACAGAAACCAGAAAAATACTACTACTATCCCTTAAAAATCTCTTACAATATGTAAGTCTTGTGATCAAAGTCATTTTTCACCTGTTTGGATTACTTCCGCATCCAGTTCAGACAGGGTAAATCTAGAAAATGGTCAGGCACCTCTAAGAGCCTTTAAGTTCATAATTTTTCTATTTAAATACTTGAACTCTAAAACGTGTTTGCCTGTACCTGTGTTGCATACTTTTACAGTATATAGTTCATGTAGACCCACATGGAACACATATAGTGTGAACTAACGAAGTAGAACTACTCTGGACTTTTACTTAAGTGGTTTACTTTTACTCCACTACATTTCCCAAAAGCATCTTCTTTCCTCATACTCGCTAGGATTCTAATTGGTTAAAGCAGAACCTTACACACACGCAATGCACCTGCGTACTTCTATGACGTACTATTCTGAAGCCCAACCACTGACCGTGGTGTTTTAAAAAATAACTGCTCCAATACCACAAACCACAATGAGTGCGTTTTTATTTGATGACCTCTACAAATCCACAAATAAATGTGAGATCCTCTTACTGTGCTGAAAATAATATAAAACAACAAATGAAAAAATGCTAGTATTACTACATTTGGTTCTGTATGTAAATGCGATGTTTATAACAAAAAATACTGAAAAAAGTAATACAGGGGGCAACGTACAGTATATTGTCCTTACTGTGTACCCTAAATCATGGATGTTATTATGTCCAAAATACAGGAAACAGGATTAATGGGAATCAGGAGGACATACAGTAAATATTCATCTGAGACTCATGTGTGACACATTTCTCCATAAGAATCAAAGTATTTCAACAGTAATGGAGACCAGAACTGTTTCCAGTATAAACATCTGTTTCCAGTATAAACAGAACGCTGTAATGACCAGTTGAGAACTTAAATAAACCTTTAACCTATATTTGAAACATTTTATAAAACTCAGAATTTGATCATTAACAATTGTGTGTGTTTTGAGCGATGGACAACATTTTAAACATTACATTCAAACATTTAACTTGAAATGATTTTAACGTGGTGTATAACGTATAGTGCACGCGAAGAAGAAAGCAACTTTAAAATAGTTGAGCTTGTACTGACATTACTATATATACTATATAGTGTATTGTATATTGCGCCAGTAGCCATATCACTCTGCAACTCACAACTGGCAGCCCACTGAAGCTAAGCATGTGTGGAGACCTCCTAGGAAAAACTAAGGTTGCTGCTGGAAGAGGTGTTAGTGGGGCCAGTAGGGGGTGCTCACCCTGCGGCCCATGTGGGTCCTAATGCCCCAGTATAGTGAGGGGGACACTATACTGTAAACAGGCGCCGCTCTTCGGATGAGATGTAAAACCAAGGTCCTGACTCTCTGTGGTCATTAAAAATCCCAGGGGCGTTTCTCGAAAAGAGTAGGGGTATAACCCTGGCGTCCTGGCCAAATTTCCCATTGACCCTTACCAATCATGGCCTCCTAATAATCCCCATCTATGAATTGGCTTCATTACATTGCTCTCATGATAGCTGATAGCTGATTTGTGGTGAGTGTTCTGGCGCATTATGGCTGCCGCTGCATCATCCAGGAGGATGCTGCACAGTGGTGGTGGAGTCCCCATTACCTGTAAAGCGCTTTGAGTGGAGTATCCAGAAAAGCACTACATAAGTGTTAGCAATTATTAATTATTATTAATTATTACTATATAGTACAAACGTACTATATAAAGTTAAATACTCTACATATGATTTACAGGGAAATCCTATACAGTATAGAATAAAATTTTTAGCTTATCTAACAACGCTTCTGGACATTTCTGTGAAATTTGTTTGGGCACTTTGCGTTTAGAGGAGCATAGAAAAATGCAAAAACCATGCACATCAAAACACATACAATTATAAAATACATTTTATAAATACAGTACATTTTGTATACTAATAAGTGTAAGAGCAAACACACAGACATGTCAGTAAGATTGTTGATAACACAGCCCTGGTCAGCTTGTTCAAATACCCAGAAAACCATGGGCCCATTCTAAATCATTTTAATAAATGGTGTAATGAGTACTTTTTGATGTTAAGTGTCTTGAAAAGAAAGGAACATTTTAGGAAAAATGCAACACTCCTCGAACCTACTGAACAGACTGTAGAAACTGTCAACAATTAATTGGGAATGGACTCATAGGCACAAACCTAAGATGTGACAAATGCTATGAGATCTATTTCAAGGTGGATGGAATGATTTTCTCACTTTTCTATAGGTTATGTATTGAAATTGTCTTAACATACTGTCTCACTTGTTGGTTTGGCAACATCAGTTTTGTAAATTATAAAAGGTTAGGGAAAATTAGTGAAAGTAGGTAAAAGTCATGGTAACATCAGAAAGGACAGCTACTTTTTACTAAAAACTTGAGTATAAGAGATTATATTTCTGATGACACTTCTGTACTTGAGTAGCTTTCATGAATGGAAACGTTTACCAAATTATGTATTTTTCGTAACACAATGCCACTTTTACTCAAGTAACACATCCGAGTACTTTTTACATCCCTGATTGTGCCTAAATTGTATTAACTGTTATAGTCCCAACTCATACAAGCTTCATTGGTATTTTATATCTGTGGAAGTCTAATACAGTATCTCATTTTTTAAATCAATTTATGTGGCGATTTCTTAATCATACCCAAAGATAGCAAGACCTGCACATGACAGCCAAGCCAACGCCCCTGAATTGTACTCCAGCTGGGTCGTAATCATCTGACGGCAGGCAGGGCAGTTCATCACCACTGGATGATCTGAGAACACCAGTCCTGGCTGCACATAGACAGACTGGACAGACACTGTGGAACAAGAACACAGAACGTATTCTGATGTATTTCTTTTGCTTGTTTCTTTATGATGTCATTCATAATCAGTAATCCAACTAACCAACTGAAATGACTGTGACTTCACTATGAAGTACTTTATGATTTATTTAGTCAGTGCAAAACTCTGAGTTCTTTAAAAATCTCTGGGAATAGCAAAAAAAAAACAGATTATACAGCCAGTGAAACCCAAATATCTGTTTTATTTTACCTTTTTAACAAACATTTCCTTAGTCCCACATACAGTTGAAACTACGACTGAAAAATATATCCCAATGAATAGTATGAGAAATGTATGGCTAGCTACTAGAATTTGCATATCCCTCCCATCACTATCACACCATATGTTGTTTACAAGGGTTAAAGCCCTTGTAAGATTATTAAATAATATAGCTTTGTTTCAATGTTGTGATCTGTGATTTACCAAATGTTTGTGGAGAATGGTAAGCCAAAGAACTTGGCTGGTTTTAATTCATGAAGAGTGACTAAAACAGAATGTTTTTGGTATGCACAATATTGCCTTTTCTTTATTGTATGTTCACAAAATTTTTGTTCAACCATATCTTGATTTTTGTTGATTTTAACCAAAGTCAAGAAAAATCTAAGCATGCAGTAACTGGTGACATGCTTTACTAGATACACAGTGTGTTACAGGGATTCAAAGGCACAGCTGGGTGTTACTCTGTACAACACACTAGTTATAGAAGGTCAGTGCAATTATTTATTAAGATAATAGATGAATAAGGAGTGCTTTACCAACTGGATGACATGTTACAGGTGGACTTTGAGGCTGGACAGGATACACTGGAGTATTCTTTGGCCCATACCCTGGGGGAGGGTATGTAGGATTCTGTGAACAGTGAGGGTATGGATGATTCATGGCTTCTTCATATGATGGAGGAAGAGGAGCTGTCAGTGGCATGACTACTTCAATTGGAGGAGCACTGGCCATTTTGGTCTTTATCTGGTAAAAAAATAATACTTTCATAAATAAAATTCATGAGAGGACAATGAATGTACCATGAAAAACAGTTTACAATAAAAGCTTTAAATGATCAAATTTGATCCATTAAAATGTAAGCCATTAAAAGTGATAATTAAGGATATTAACACTGACATACAGAATTATGTTATATGCAGATTATCACAGAACTTCAGAACTTGTGGTTTGAGCCCTCAACATCCACAACATAAGTTGCCAATTAACAGTATTTTGCTCTGGATTCTGTAGTGCCAATGATAGTTCAGGGTTGATCTTGCAGTGTCTGAACTCATAGGGCTCAATTTACACTCTGAATAGGCACATTCACTTTTTGAATTACATGCACATGAGATTTTTATGAGAATACTGTATGTTGAAACAATTATTTTTGACTAAATAAGTAAGGTGCGGTAATAGTCTGAAATATATTACAGTTCTCACTCCTGCTGTTAGCCCAGCATAGATTCGCCATTAGAGCCAGAAATATGACTGACTAAAAATGTCCTTCAATGTAAAAATAACTTCTGACTGATTAAACATCATCACATAACCATATACTGTAGGTTTCCCATGTGAAGAAGCAGCTGTATCATCAGCTGTAATAAAGAAGTAAATATTTGAGCTCAAGAAATACATTTCAGCTATTGTCATTGACCTGATGCAAATCATAGAGAAAGGCATGGTTTTCATACCCAAGGTGTTTACCTGAAAGAAGAAAAAGTAAAGTCTAAATCAAGTAATACCAACAGAGACAGCCTGAGCTGTGACATCACAGGCTTTGATTCAGACAATCTTTCATTTTTGTATTTCTGGTATCTACACCCCTTTCACTTCCACCATCCCTGGTAGGATGAGAGGCATCAACTGCCTTTAAAAAAAAGCAGAATTGCAAAACAGGAATTGTTTATTTTAAAATGTTCTAACAGCCAACATCCATTCTTCTAATCCATCCAAAAATTCTGAAATCATGATTTAATAATTCTAATATGGTTGTTTTAGATTATCATAAGAAAATCTTTTCTGTCGTTTTCTGAAGTACTGTAATTACTGGAGGTAGTGACATTTTTAAACTCAGTACTTCTGGTTTTAAGCATTCTTTTATTATGCAGCTTTGTTTTAAATGGGTCTGTGATATACTGCACATGAAAGTGAATTTTAAGTCAAAGGATTTCCTGTTTTTAAAACAGATGACTAAGAACAGATGTAACTTCAAAGTCAACACAAGCAGCTTTTATTTGTAATTTAAGATTTGCTCAAAATACAGACACAAAACCCTGCAAATAATATTACCTAGGTTTTAATTATTTATTAATAATTTGCAAAGTATAAAAAGAGAAAGCAATTATTGAGCAAGTTTATATATTGTGATGTCCCAGATGGATTTGCCAATCTTTAAAATAGCCAGGAACACAGACACACAAACACTGCCAAAAGGTACAAAACAACTGTTTATTTACACTGCGACAGAAAACAAAACAATCACCAAAACAAAAGCCTAGCTGCTTTTTGAGACATTATCTAGACTTCTTCTAAGTCCCTAACTATTGCTGCTGCATAACTAAGCCACTTACTGGCTTAAAAAAATGAACAATTCTTAAACTCAAGTCTCTCTCTGAGCCTTTTCTCAAAAAGTATATCCAAAAAATATAAAAACTCACGTTTTTATTGCAATTTACAATTTCTTGTGTATAGTACCTAATGAACCTTTACTATAAACAATAAATGGTTTCTGTTTTGAGCTTAAATTCAGGTAGCAGATTTTAAAGAGCTGAATGTACAAATGGAGATCTCTGTCTAGTCTCTTATCAAGTTCAAACCAAAACCAATTCACCATACTCAATCTGGTAATTTAAGGATTTTTGTTCCACAAACACTTTTGTTTTGGTAATTATAACACCTCATCAAACACTCTTCCATTCGTTTCATATTATTTTTCAAAAATTGCCAAGGTACAAGGTAAATTTCAGATTTATAGCTACTCTATAGTTTATACAGAATATACTATACAATGGACAGCACATACTGTAAATGTAGAAAAAGACCACCTTAAACACTTGCAAAATAAAACAGTATTTTAGGCATGGAAACAGAAGAGAATGACAACCAAGCAAAAACATCCATAGCAAGCACTGACTTAAAACAGACGTAAGACCGAGGTCCTGACTTTCTGTGTTTTGGCATTAAAAATCCTAGGTGTTTCTCAAATAGAGTAGGAGTGTTATCCTGTCATGCTGGACAAATTTCCCATTGGCCTTTTTCAATCATGATCTCCTAATAATCCCCATCTATGAATTGGCTTCAGCACTCTGTTCTCCTCCCCACTGATAGCTGGCGTGTGGTAAACATACTGCCGTCACATCATCCAGGTGGATGCTGCACATTGGTGGTGAGTAGAGTGTCCAGAAAAGCACTAAAGTGTAACAAATTATTATTATTGGTCCTGAAAACATGAAAACTCATGATGGCACAGAGAATACAGAGGAGTTAAACCATTTTCCAAAAGCTCTTACTAGCACTATCAAGCCCTTTACATCATAAACATACTTAATGACTCCCATGAGAGAATACAACATTCACCAACTATTAAATTAGTGGTCAACTAGGTAGTGTTTATTTACAAGCAATAGAAGCCTATATTGGCCACTAGTGGCAATAACTGTTTTCTATCGGCTGAAAATCAAGTGTTTCCCGACATGATCTTCAAAAAGACTTTTATGAACAGCAGGAACAGGTCTCTGCATGTTGAAAGTCATGATAGAAACTTCACAACTAAGACATGCTATTAAAATATATAAAAGTGCATGAAAAATAAAGATAGGTACTTAAGTATATGTATTATTCTTTCAAAACAACAATCCACTATAGAGTGTTTACAGTAAAGAGAAACTTAAGGAAACAAGTCAATAAAGTGAAAAGTAACTGGCTGACGTTAAGAGAGTTTATTTATTAGTGTTTAACCTTTTGGTTAAATTTCTAATATCTAGTTTATATTAATTTATACTTCATCAAAATGAAGTCATTGTAGTGTGTGGTTTACTGAATGACTGGTTTTTTGGTTGAAGATCAGAAAACATGAAGTCCAGAGAGATAGTCTTACTTTATCTGTGAAGACTGTTAGGTATTTGAGCACCATAACTCATAGCTTTGAGACCCAGCTTTTTTACGTCTGCTGCCACACAGAATTAGCACATTTGCAGTAACTACATGTTATACCTTACAAGGAGACTGTGTGCATGAAATGAGCAGTGGGATAGGAGGCTTCAGACCAGAGAGCAAGACAGAATTGGGCAGCATTCCTAGGACTTGCCCTCTTCAACTCCTTTCAGGCCTTGCTGGAAATAATCTGGGTCTTGACCTCCAAGAGAAAAATGGGATGACTAATGGGCTGTAGAGCATCCAGAAACCCACTTCCCCCAGAATGGGGGAAATGAAAGAGAGGAACTCAAGTTACTGGACATACAGACAGTGTAGTGTGCACATGAGCTACCCAGGTTCTACACCTCCTTGAGTGAATGTGCTCCTGGCCAGAGCTGGGGTTGATCCAGATGCCATGGTGCATGTATGCAAAAATGAAAAACGAAGGAGCAGGCTGACAATTCTGCAAGACATATTTAAGCATTTAGCTTGTAAATGAAGGAGCAGAAAATAATCAGACATTCTACTAGTGTCTCATGCAATTCCAGGGATAAAAGAGGAAATATTAAGATTTAACCCACAGGCAATAGATTGGTGCAGAAAAGACAGAAACTGAAGACCAGTTGTGCACAGCTGCAGTCCTGAATGGCCATAGTGTCTGTGTGTTTTCATTTTACGTCTGCACTTAATAACCTATTTGACCTAATTATTAACTAAAAAGAACAAATTCAATACTTTTTTTTAGATGTCTCAAGGTATTGATTCTATAAGAAATCCTGCTGGACTCTGGTCCGGGAGACTTGGAGTTGTGCACTTTTGCCATAAACCAATCAAGTCTCTAATGTTAATGGTAAAGTTATGGAAACAATAATGCCAAATTAGAAGAATATTTCCAAAGCAATTTTAAAAGACTGACAGCAATGGTTTGGAAAGTTTTTATCTTTTTAGAATTTGTTGATCAATTAACAATGTCTGCAGATAACACTACAGCATGTGACCCAATATTCCACAAAGATTTCAAGATCCTTTTTTAAGGGCTGAAATTTATTAAATCTAACTCTAACATCCAACACACTGTTTCTGTAGATTTTTTTAGACTAGATAATGCAGGGAAACAAAAATAGCCAAAAGAATGCTTGAGTACATACTGTAGCAATAGGTTTGGAATTTAAATCCAGGGGAAATCACCGAAAGCTTTACAAAGCACCAGAAAGCCCTAAATTCAAATATTGTGTTTAGCTTTGGTCACTATACCACAATAAGATTAAGTCTGAACAAGAACAAACTGAACTAAGAAGACCAACAACAATTGTTCTCAGTTTCTGGGAACAGTCATATATGATACAGGTTAAGAGAACTGATTATCTTCAGTTTAGAGCAAAGAAGACTGAGAAAAATAATAATATGCGAAGTATAACATATAATACATCCAATGATTTACAGACAGGGTTAATCCAGAGAACTATTTCACACTCCGTACTGAAACAAGGAAACAGAGTGGAAATTAAAAAGGACTCATTTAGAATGGTGAAGAGGAAATGCATCTTTACACAAAGAGTTGTGTGTGTCTGTAACAAACTTCCCACCAGATGTTTCAGGTCCAAACTCTGTATCTGGCTCTTCTAAGAAAGTTCTTGACTACATTTTAAATTAGCTTATTCTAAACTAATATGAGCAAGATGGGCCAAATGGCGTCCTGTCTTGTGGTTGCAACCTGTCTTGTCACCTTTGTGTACAAACTAACGTTTTTACCAATACCGCCAACTTCACCTAGGCCCTAGTTTAGAGCATCATCACAGTTATGTAACCTTGAGAATTTTAAAATAAACACAATTAAGTATCTCAATCTGAAAAACAATAAAAATGTTTGACCTTCTACAATATTTTCGTATAAATGTAATCAACAGGCTTGACAAAGAACAACGCAAAAAACTTCCCCGGTCCTCATCTTAAAAGAAAAAGAATAACAAAAATGTAAGTTATACAAATTAAGAAAACATTTTAGTCACATCGCATGTATTTAATAATGAAAATATAACAATTTTATTATATACAGTAACAGTAAGAAACTTATTTTAAAAAGATAATGCGTCAATTTAACTTCATTTCCGTAAAGATCCGCGTTACACAACACTTCCTTTATAATGAAGCCTTTATGGTGTTAACCTTATTTTTCTAAGAAAACGAATAACTAATATTACAGTAAAAAACGGTACAAACCCTCTTGTGTAAACTCGACGTTATCCAGAAAATGACACGGTAACAGGAACTTCAGGAAGAAAAATACCCAAAGAAAAGCTACACAGTTTTGTTTTTAACCTCGAACGTTTGTTTCTTTTGTCGAATTACAACACTAATCAAAGCTGGGGAAAAGTTCACAAACAGTGCCTTCAGATAGCCTTAATGATATAAACAATTTCTAAAGAGGATAGAATACTTCCTGTGTCCCACTTAACTATTGCAGTATGTCACGTGATAGAAATACATTCTGTTTACTTACACCATCCGCTTTCTAAACCCCCTCGCTAAGATGTGGCTTGAGTAATTATTATTGCTACCGTAACTAATAAATTTAATCAGTATCTTCCAAAATGTTAGTTTTTATCTCGTGAGTAAAATATATTGAAATATAAATTAGTAAAATCCGTTGCTTGTGTGGTGGAGCATGTCAGTACGTACTTATTAAACAGCATTCATACTGTAGTTTTTTAAGAACAGTGAGTTTCCATTCTTGTTCTAGCCACATAACACATCAGGTTTCATCACACTATTTCTATATTTGAAATCAATACAGTAGAGTTAAATGGGAAAACCTATTAATTAAATTTAGTGTAACCCGTTTTTTTTTTAAAAAAGGTTTTACTATCACGAGGCTGAAGCTGGCTTCTGATTGTGGTGGAGGGGAGTCCCCATTACCTGTAAAACGCTTTGAGTGGAGTGTCCAGAAAAAGCGCTATATAGGTGTAAGCAATTATTATTATTATTATTATTATTATTATGATTATTATTATAATTCGCCAGCTTCTTCGCGTTTTTCGTTCCACCTTAAATGCTACTTTCACATTGTCTCTCACACCTCAGTGTCAGAATTGTGAGACGATTTTGTAATCAGGAAGGAGGGCCATTGCAATACAGCAGAAAGTGCAATCAGCTTTTCCCAATGCATTCTTTCATGCCATGTTCAGAGGGTCATATTTAAAAAATGATACAGTAAAATTTCCTGAAGAAAACCTACACCAGCATCTTTGGATAAGTTTAAATACACATCTTCTACTTAAACCATGATCTTTCACGTTAAATTACTTCAGGAAAGTCAATTATGTCAAGATATAAATGCTTACTAAATCTCTAAAGTTCTAAATCTCATGCCTCACAAGCCAAAGGTCTGACAACATAATGCAACACCGAATGTAAAAATAAATTACACGCACATATTCACTGATGTTTTTTTGACATCATAATCGATAATCACAATATGTAGGTGTTTATTGGAGATGACTATGTTAATGCCCTTTGGGATGAAAAGCACTATATAAATGAAAGAGTTAATTATTCCAAAATAAATAAAATGTCATGCCATTTGCCAAACCGCTTTTTACCATACAGTGCATACAGTGTTGCGGGAAGCCGGCGCCTATCCAGCAAAAAATGAGTGCAAGGCAGGGTAAACCCTGGATGGGGCACCAGTCCAATCACAGGTCAAGTGCAATACATGGGGACAATTTGGAGGCCACGTAAGGCTGAGGGGGGAAAATGTGGCCAGACACCGAGATAATTCCCTTCTCTTATCGAGAAATGTCTGGGGATTTGTGGTATATTGTAAAAGTGCAATAGCACCCAGTGCTTGAATTGTATCACGTGTAAGAGAGAGAGTGCGGGAAAACAACTGGTAGGAGACAGATAATGTACAGTATGTCTGGTGGAACACACAATAAAAGAAGTAAGTTTTCAAAAACTTGGTTGTGTTGGACTTACAGTATATTTATCACGACGGACGATAACACATGGTACCAGGAGTGAAACTTGTATGGTAATACACCATACTGTGATACTGGGAAAAAAAGAAAGAAACGTGATACAGACAAAATGGAGCAGCTAAAACCAACGACTGGATTAAAGTTAACATAGAGGAGCAATAGAAGCATTTCAAACAGCGCTTTACCCCCTGCTTAATGGATGTTGGAGCAGATGAAAAAGACGAGGAACAGAAAGTTGCACTCTTTTTAACTGTTTAGTTTCAGTCCTTTTGTACTCCCAAAAAGAATGAGACATTCGAGAGATGTTTTCAACAGCAGAGTACAAAGCGAAACTGAGGCAACAGAGGAGTTTATCATGGACTCAAAACTAAAAAGCCAGACCTGTAACTTTGGGACTCTAGCTGACTCATTGATACACGACAGAATCATTATAGGAGTGAGAGAAATGGGGCTGAGAGAGAAGCTGCTCGGCGAGACAGAGCTGACCCTTAACAAGGCAATTCAGGTGTGCAAGGCCAGAGAAGTGACCCTGACCAGAATGAACTCCATGGATGGGAACCAGCCCCATGAAATGGTGTACAAGATCTACAAAAAGAGAAATAAAACAGAAAAGGAGAGCAGAAAGGACAGAAATCCCAGTGCCCAGCCTTCATGAAGGACTACAGGAACTGCGGGGGGAAAAAATCACTTCACAAGAGTCTGCTGGAGTCCTAGGAAGATATGCAGTGTCGACGCAGAAAGCAACTCCAGCAACGTGGCAGGGGACTTGTTCGTAGGAACAGTTCACGCTGCAGGGAAAGAGGAAGATTGGACTGCTATTTACAAGGTCAAAAAAAAAGGTGAAGCTTGGGGCGTATAGCGGTGAAGCGATTCCCACTGTTGGTACTTGTATGTTAAGGCTAAACATTGAGGGAGAAACACACATGGTGCCATTTGTGATTGTAAAAGGTAACAAATCTTGAAAACATGTAATACGTTTGGTAAAACGTGTGCATATGGTGGATGATGTAACTGACACAAATATAGTGAATGTTGAGGATACAAACATTCATGCATTTAATGGCATCAGAAAGCTAAGGCTACAGCACAGAATTTAGTTAGAAAAGCCAAACAAGCCGGTAATACATGCACCAAGAAAAGTACTGCTTGCATTGAGAGACAGGCTATGTTTAAGATGAGCTTAAAAGGTTAGAAACCTTAGATATAATTGACAAGGTAGAAGAGCCAACTGAATGAGTGCACTCGCAAGTGATAGTAAAGAAAAAAGACGGCTCGTTAAGGTTGTGTATAGATCCTAAAGAGCTAGAGAACAAATATGTTAAAAGGGAACATATTCAGTTGCCCACAAGGGGAGAAATCTTAGGGGATACAGCAAGCGCTAAGTATTTCTCTAAAACAGACGCAACTGCAGGATTCTGGCAGGTCGCTCTTGATAAGGTCCATGCACGGCTGTGCACATTCAACATGCCTTTCGGGAGGTACTGTTTTAAAAGGTTTTAACACGCCATTACACAAGGCTGGTCTGCTCATGCTGTCACTTCACCATTTGTACAGTACAGAGATGAATTATCTGTTCTGGATGGGATACTCTTCAAAGGGTCAAGAATTGTGATTCCAAAGGTATTAGAAAAAAATATATGCTGTTAAAAGTACATGAGGTCCACTTAGGGATGGAAAAAAGACAGGCAAAAGCTGTGTTATTCTGGCCCAATATGAAGCAGACATAGAGAAAGCAATCGGGTTGTCAGAAGTACAGGTGTAGGCAAAGAAAACAGCTAATGTGGGTGGAAGAGTGCACTCCAGTGGGTCTTTAGAGTAAAATAGGTTTTGATCTCTTTGCAACAGAGGGCAAGAACTCCATGTTAGCACTAGACTACTTCTCTCACTACCGAGATAGCATTGCTAAGACACTACAGCAGATTAGGTGATAACACAGATCAAATCTTTTATTGCATGACACAGCATTCCTGATGTAGTAATGACCGACAATGGGTCACAGTTCAGATATGAATTCAGACATGTAACCCCCAGTCCATGTTATCCTCAGTCCAATGGTCTTGTAGAGAACAGTGTCAAGATTGTGAAGCTACTGATAAAAAAGGCAAAGGATTCCAAAACTGACCTATCCATTGCATTTCTAAATTACAGTGCAGCACCACTCGAACACGGTTGGTCACCAGCAGAAATGCTGTTTAACAGAAAACTAAGAACCAGATTACTAGAACTACTTGATGGTGGAACTGAAGGATATAAAGAAATGTACAAACTTAAAGAAAGGGAAAAGGGAAACAAAAATGCTACTATGACAGAGGAGCAAGCTCTTTTACAGAGCTCAAACTTGATGATTCTGTTCGAGTGCATGATGGCCATAACTTGGACATTCAGGCAAAAGTAGTGAAAATGTTATCATCTAGGTATGATACACATGGAAACTGGCATGAAGTTATATGAGGTGTCCTAGTCTGAACAATCAAGTAGTGCAGGTGGTAAAGGTGTGTACAAAATGCCACAGGGTGGTGCAAGGCATGTACCCCTGAGAGATGCCAGCAAAACTGTGGTCATGGCTGCCCCTGGACCAGTGGTGATAGGACAGATGGTGTTGGTCGTAGTGGATGCCATTATAACATCATCATAGAAGTCATTATAACATCATCCACCTCTTCTAAGGCTGTGACTGAGACACTATGTTGCAAAACATTATTTGTAACATTGTTTTCACTAGAAGTGTATTTTTCATTTTCTTTTAAACAAATGTAATGTTTACTCTGTACTGAATAAAAATAAATTGCAGTACAAATGTATTAAATCTTTTGTTTCAAACAACAATTTTTGATTTTCAAGGAAACAGAAGAAGGGTAGTATTTACATTTTAATTAGTTATTCAAATTGAAAGTTATGCTAATGAATTCTAATGAGTAAAACGTTTATGTATAAATATCATTAAAGTTCCTTATGATTAACCATCTCACCCACAGAAGAGTTTGGAGATTGCCATTTCTGATTGGACTAAAATTAATCTCAATCATAAAGACACCCCCCCTCGTGTCAAAACATTGTGTCATGTTTGGGAGGCGTGTACATGTATTTCAACCAATCAGAATATAATATCTACACTTTTCACCAGTGTAACACATAGGTGGGGCTCTTAAAAGCTGACAAATCAAACACTTTGCTTGGCTAATGTAAAGTCATTGGCTAGAAAATAGATACATTAATAATTAATAATTCAACAGAGCCCTTATTAATTTAATCACACATTTTCATTGACCACACCCCTCATTACAATTTAATTCTTGCAGGATTTGTTTCCACCATGAAAGCTAAGTATTGGGACAGTAAAGTGAAATTTGTAATTTTTGAAATGTATTACATTTTTATTTCAGATCAAAAGGTTAAAATGAAGCAAAAAGTATAGTTGTCAGCTTTTGGTTTGGGGTTTTATTTTACATGCTTAGCCATGCTAAAGAATTCAGAGATTGTTAAGTAACAGAAATATGAATTAAATCCAGGTAAGGAATTGACAGTAGCAAACACATTATCGAGAGCATTTGACAAGACAGTACAAACAGAAAACATAGAACAGGATGAAATTATACATGTTAATTTGATCAGGAAACAGTGCCCAGTGTCTGATGAAAGTATATATTGTCAGCTTTTGGTTTGGGGTTTTATTTTACATGTTAAGCCACGCTTAAGAATTCAGAGATTGTTAAGTAACAGAAATGTGAATTAAATCTAGAATACAGACCAGGTAAGTTGAACACAAGTTAACAATTTCCCCATTTTGGGTAAGCATAAATATTTATTGCCCTTTTTTTAGGAAAAAAGGTGATTAACACAGTAAAATCACATTCTTCCTACATTTTAAACAAATTAAAGTTTATTAAACCCAACATCCTCCTCTTGAATTTGAACAGCTTCTAATACAGTGCACTGCTTTGAAATGTGAATTAATTGTGGCTTAGTGTCCTAGAGAAAATCTCCTAGAAGAAAGACCGGGCAAGAGAAATAATGTAAAAATTTTATTTTAGCTCTACACCTAATTATATGCTTGACTGTAAACTTTTATCTTTGATTTTTTTTTAACTTTTTGTCACTGGAGTGCTATTCACTATTACCTGCTTTTCTACTTTACGCTTTTTTAGGGAATAACATAGTCAGTGCCATGGTACCAGGATAGATGTATCTATTTTCTATCCTTATTCTGGTCTCATTTGTGGGTCTCCAATTCATGAAGCACAAGTCTAGACTTTGGAAATGAATGCTGTTCACAATACTACAGATTACCTTGATTAGTGTGTGCTGAAAATTACCCAGCATTTACTAAATTGTCGAATGGATAGACAGCACACAAACCTGGCTCACACACGGTTCTTTGTAAAGATATGGATTTAGTATAAGTACTTTAACAAACCTTTTAATATACAGTAAAGTCAAGCAACAGATCTGCCTTTGTTCAGGAGCCTACTTACAGCCCTTTCTTAGAATTACAATAGTATAATACAGATTGATATATCGTGGTAGTCAAGATGAAAATACCACATATTATTTTGGTAGTTACCTAAAATGGCACAAACTCAACTTCAATTATAACTTAACAGCCTCCGTTTCGCCTCCCGCGATTTCTCACAGAACTGTAATTGCTTCTTCAGGACCTTGTTTTCTTTCTGGCTTTCAGCAATTTTGATCTGGAAATCTGCAAAGCAGCCCTTGAAAATATTTGAAAAATTGAAGAATCTCCATAACAGTGGCAAATTGGGTTTGAAAAGTCTTGACAGGATCCGAAATATTGGCAGACGGACGCAAATGTGCGAGAAAGGTGCCACTTAGCTTTATTCTGCTTAATACGTCCATGTACAGAAAATGTAGCATGTGAGCTTTGACAGTCAGAAAACCAGCCTTTTCATACATAAAAACTCACGCTCCACAGTTACAGAGAGAACCTCAGCCAGCTAGGTGATGTCATACAGACTCCCTTCAGTCAGTATAGATTCTGTCCATTTTGTTGCATTCTCACAGTGCGAAGCTGCTGGTCGTGTGATGTCGAGTGCAGCATCTCATCAACAGGTTCAATTGAGGGTGCGGCATCACCTTGAACTGTCTGCATAGGAACAAGTATTAAAGTTAATTCCACACTGAAATACTTAACAAGGAAAGAAACAAATCTGAATCTCAGCCTTTGCAAAGACTGTGGAACATAGCTTAATTCTCTATAATTACATCAACGATCTTTAAAGTTAAAAATATATAATTTGCATTGAAGACACTTGCTGGAAGTATTGAATATTAGAAACAAATCTGGTCTCAGCTGCCAAAATTAATAAAGCAGTTGTTGTAGTTTTATTGCATGCAAGGAACAACAAAACTGAAGTAGTGTTCGAAGTACTGGTACAAAACTTCTAGCTTATATAGCCCTATTCTGCCGCTTCTGACGTAGCTTGTTACCATGGTAATGGGGAGAGGTCATGGTGTATGGACAGTTCACAGACTTTGGCCAAATGGTCAGTGTTAATTTTCCTTCCTTGGGAAGGGGTGTTTCTAGCTGGCATCTGGGATCCTTATCAGTTATCCCCCTCTCCTGCCATAACTCTAAGCCTGGAATGTCTTGTGTCACAAGAAGTCCAGTCCTTGTGCAGAAAGGAATCAGTTAACCCCTTTCTTCACATCTTATATCTTCCTTCAATAGTATGTGAAATTTACTTTTAAATTAATCACTCTCAATCTCAGATCATCAGTGTTATCATTTAAAATATTCTCTTGATATCAGTATGGCAGTATCTGAAATCACAAATATATGTAATATATTTCAAAGAAGAAACATATTTACATATTAGTCATTAAGTAACTCAAACATTTCTCATTTGATTACTTGAAATGTTTCTCCTACAGAGATTTGGAGATCATCACAGTTTGAAACTGAGAAATTGAAGTCTCCCCAGTATAAAGGGTCCTGGTGTACTTTTAAGTTTAAAGAACAGCATTAATCTTTCCACATTCAGAACAGGAGTGCAGTTCTTTACTGACTGTACATGCTAGTTTGATTTAAAGTTGTATGAGTGACTGACAGTCAAACACAGTTTGAAGGCCAATATAATCACTGACTGTCATGACCACCCCTTCCAAAGTGAATTGGAACTCCTTCCATCAGGGCATTGATTTAGACTACCCAAATTCAAGTGTAACAGAATGCAATAGAATTAATTTATCTTTTATTTTCATGGCTATTAAGCAACTTACTTTGAACAATGTATACCAATAAAGATAACCCTCGCTACCTATTTAAGAAAATAGCTAATCTTACAAATAGGGCTGATTCTATAGTACCATCTAATTTTAGTAGTGATGATTTCACAAACTTCTTTAACAATAAAATTAACACCAGCAGGCTTTAAACACAATCAAATAAGCACACCTCTTTAGTGTTTTTCAATTAGTTAATGAACAAGAACTCAAACAAATAATTATTAAGACAAAGTCAGCCACCTGTCCCATCCCCACTCAACTAGTCAAATATTCCCTTGAAATACTGGCAGGACCTATAATTAGTATGACGAACATGTCCCTTGCATCAGGCGTTGTACCTGATCAATTTAAGGTAGCGCTTCTTAAGAAGCCAAATTTGGATCTACAGGCCTGTCTCAAACGTCCCATTTCTTTCTAAAATTCTTGAGAAAATAGTTGTGGCCTAATTTCAATCGTATCTGGACTCAAATAATATACTTGAGAAATTCCAGTTTGGTTTCAGCCCAGGCCACAGCACTGAAACCGCATTAACAAGAGTTGTAAATGATAGCTGTTAGCTACTGACGCGGGGAATGCAACAGTGCTTGTGCTTCTAGATCTTAGCGCTGCCTTTGACATGGTTGAGCACTCTGTTTTGTTACACAGGGTTGAGTTTGAGGTTGGCTTATCTGGAACCATCCTTAAGTGGTTTACTTCATATTTTCATTATGTTCAAATATCTAATATTTGTACTGCTTCATCAATGTCACCAGTTCAATTTGGGGTACCACAGGGATCAGTGCTGGATCCAATATTGTTCTCTCCTCTACATGCTGCCACTAGGTAGGATAATACAAAAACATAATATTAACTTTCATTCATATGCTGATGACACTCAAATATATATTTCATTTACACCAAATGACAACTCTTCTATTATCAGTTTAGTTAATTGCATTTGGATGTGTGAAAACCTTTGGTTACTCAACTCTGATTAAACTGAAGTTCTGTTGTTTGGAGGCAATAATACTGATAGGACTACTATAACTTCAGCACTTAACTCAGAGGATTTAAAAATTTGCCTCAAAGACTCATCACGTAACCTAGGTGTCATATTAGACATAAGGCACTCATTTAACTCTCATGTTAAAACAGTATCGAAAACATGCTTCCTACAGCTAAGAAATAATGCAAAACTAAAGCAGTTTCTCTCAACTCAAGACACAGAGAAATTAAAACATGCTCTTGTATAAAGCAGGTTGGACTACTGCAATGCCCTACTATCTGGATGCACCTATCACTCTTTCAACACCTTACAGCAAATTCACAATGCAGCAGCTAGAATTGTTACTAGGAGCAGAAAGTATGACCATATAACCCCCATACTTAGCTCTCTTCATTGGCTTCCTGACAGGTACAGGGCAGACTTTAAAATCCTTCTACTTACAAGGCTCTCAGAGGTTAGGCACATGTTTATCTAATGGAACTTATTAATGTTTACAATCCAAGTCGCCTGCTTAGATCACAAAATGCAGGTCTTCTTCATATTCCACAAATTAACAAAATAACAGTTGGTGGTAAAGCCTTTAGTTACAGGGCCCCTAGCTTATGGAACAGTCTCCCACCCCATATTCAGGATGCCGGGTCAATCTCAGTATTCAAATCCAGACTGAAGACCTATTACTTCAGCCTAACCTACTCACACCTTACATTACAGCCTGCTGCAACCATGGCTGCTGGTGCTGCTGTACATGCCATTGTGTACCTCTATGTTGCCCCACCAGGTAGATACATCTGTTCTGACCAAACTATCCTATTCTCCTCCTCACATGTCTAGATGGTGCCCGGGCTGGGTACCATCTGAGTTGGATGCTGCATCACTGCCATGGATCCAAGAAGGACATCGTGGATATAGCTATTGATTAGGAGGAATTTACTGGTCTACAGAGATCTGCACACAGAAGACATGATGGCTGGATGGATTAACACCCTCATCGTTTCCTTTTTCAAATTATATAATGTTTGCATGCCCAAAGGGGTTGGGCAACCAGTTGACCTTGGACCCCTATAAAGGTTTCTGTCCTTACTAAGGAGTTTTTGGTTCCTCTCCTCTGTTGTCTTCTGTTCTGTATTGACAAAATGTTGTCAATTGTCAATTGTATTGCTAAGCACCCCGGGGCAACCTTGTTGCGAAAGGTGCCATTTAAAAATAAATTGAATATTTTACAATTTTCCATTTTATTTTTTTCATACATGTTCTCTCTCATTTATACAGGAATATATTTTATTAGTTAAAAGATTTATGTGGACTTAAGTCTATTGTGTTATACCTTTTATTTGTTTGCAAATCAAATTTCCCATCTGGGAAAATAAAAGGAAGGAAGTAGGTCTCTTTTCAGTGTGTGCTGCTATTATTACTTAAACTACTGGACTGTATTCTTTCAAATGTACAGTACTAGAGGCTCCCAGCTGCTGCTGTTTGTGCTGTAAACAGACGCTGCTCTTACCTGAAAAAGTACTCAAAATGACAAACTGCTGTGACACAAGCATGCCCATTTTCTCTCTTTGCTGTTGCTATTTTATGCTAGATGTGGTCCAGCTCATTTTTGCGCTTTACCGTGTGTAGGCTGTACCTTCAGTCTTCTCTTTCATATACAGATATTCTACACAGTACTTCCGTAGATTATTACCAGCACACATCTACTTTATGTGCAGACAGTACAGCTCAGTGTGCTGCTCTGTAGTGTAAATAAAAGGGACTTCAGTGATCTGTAATATTAACAGTATCCAGTTCAATTCATTTCCTCTTTGTTCACATGTACAATGACAGACTATGGTTCATTTAGACTTTCTGAAATAAATCCAGTGTCTTGATTATTAAACCATTCTGTACAATAGTGGACTGTGTCTGGGTGCCACCCCCTAATGTCCTGGCACAGTCATATGGACAGGCTACAGTCATTGTGTTTGAAGCCTATGTTTTTTTGTCCCTCAGAACTTGGCTTGGAGTCACAGATCTCGAGTCCCGTTACACAAATACCAGGGCTTTAAATTCAATGTTACTGCAAGCATCTACCTCAACTCAACCTTTCTTAAAAATTGTTCGCTAACCCAATCTATTTAAAAGCTGATTTTACCAAATTCTGCACTGAATAGACTGAAAGTTCAGGTGTTTTAGAACAACTGGTTAAGGAAGATGATTGCACGGAACATACTGTAGGTCCAGGAATTCCACTCATCAAGCAGCTCCAGCAATGATATATACAAACAAAATACCTGCTGTCACAGAACATGATATTGAAAACACCACATTTAAACTTTTTTGTCAACTTAAGAGTGGTTACAAAATTACATGTATGGATCACATCACAAATCTACACTAATTGGAGCATCCAAGCTACCTTGATATGGAACCTAATGGTGTATTGCAAACAAGAGAAATCTCATCTGTCAGTGGTCACAAATCTGAGGGATCCTTGTAGAGTTCCAGAGCCCTCAGTAGAAAATAGAGAACACTAAAGTAAAATGGCAGAATACAAGGGATATTACAGAGATTATCGCTCTTCAGATGGTTGCATATACCAGAGTGACAATAGCAGCGATAGCTTTGTGCTCCGCTCTTTAGAATTCAAAAAGTGTAATTTAACGTAATGTCTAAAATTTGAATACATTTAAAACTGAATTGTTAAGAAACTTGTTTTGATGTGTATTTCCATTAGTATAAATGACTATAAAACATAGCTTATGGCACAACATATACATTTCTTTTTAACTTTCATGTATTCAATTTACAGGAAATTGAATACATACTTATTTATTGAAGTAAAAAGTACTTATTTATTGCAGGAAAATGTATATACTGTACCATTTTAATTTTTCATTTAGATTAGTGCCGTGTTCTTCATTTATGGTCAATAAACATAAACAGTACATTACTGAAAGAAAATTAAAAACATTTAAGAATCTGCCCAGCAATGCTGAAGACCAAAATGGTTTAGTTGATAACTTAAGGTAAAAAGCCTTAGTTTTCAGTAACAAAAAGTAACAAAAACATTTAAGGTCAAGTGGTCCTGAAAAGTATTTTTTTCACTCATCTGAATGATCAAGTACAGTACTCTCATCTGTAGACATTTAATGGGATTAAGAACATCCCATTTAAACAAAAAGGCACTAGCTCCACTTGTGTATTGGTGAAATTCATAGTTTCTTCAGATCAGAGTGTCATTTGAAGCAGGTAACAGACCTGTGTTTATGGAAGATTCTGCTGCAGGTCCTCCACTTCAGCTCTCCACATTTTCCCATGCACAGGGTTCTCAGACAAATCTGCCATCTTCACAGCATGAAGGACAGGCTCTGGGCTGCAGGACTGTATAGTTCCCATCACCATCACATACTTACCTGGAAAGAAGACCAAGGAGGTGAGGACACATTGGCTTTAAAGATAAAGAGGTTCAAGCTGCAAGAGATATGATCAAAGTTCCAGGTTTCTGTGCGGCTATCCCCTCAGACGGTTCTTGAAAAAAAAAAGTGATATAAAGGAAGTGTAGTATTCATTTTGGGGTGTTATACGAAGTTGTCACCTAATATATAAACCTGCCATATTTCCTGTCTGTCTGTCACTAAAAAAGCCTTCCAAACTGCCATGTTAAGCTAGGCCTAGGGCAGGGGTGGGGAACCTTTTTTCTGCCAAGGGCCATTTGGATATTTATAACATCATTCGCGGGCCATACAAAATTATCAATTTAAAAATTAGCCTGCTATATTTGGTCAAACATTTAATTAACTCACCCCTAATGTGATGGCTGGAACTGCCTCTCTTTGTTGAGGCGTGTGATGTTAGCTGCTATTGATGATGTTGCTACTCGCAACTGCTTTTCCAGGTTTGCATCGGTCAGTCTGGAGCCCAGTCTTAGTAAAACACAGTGTGTTAACACTTTCGCAACGTGTACACTCCCAGCCTGCCTGGCACTGACTGCCCTCTGAGTCACCGCAATACAGGCAGACGGGCTGCGGGCAGCCGGCGAGAAGCATGCGTGTCTGTCCCGTCATGTACTCGTATGTGTCCTGTCTATCCCGTAATGGACGTTCCTTGCTTGTCACTCAAAATTAACGTTATTATTATGATTCACTTTATATAAATTTATGTTGCTATGAAAAGAGCTCCTAGATTTATTGAATTTCAAGTCCCGCCTGCGTAGGGCTGGGTGATATGGCCAAAAACATTATCACGAGAAAAAAATTAATATCAGTTGATATCGATAATTATCACGATAAATGTCAAATCATTATTTCTTTCAAGTTTAAAGGCAGATTTTTTTTCTCCTGAGTGAAAGTTGAAGAAACCAGACAGTTAATTGGTGAATTAAACTATTTATTTTAAGAACGCATCACTTGCCAAACAGCAGAAACGTTAAACAAATCTGTTAGCTGCCCGGTCTGCAACATGCATGCGCACTAAATACTGCGCGTATCATGCGTAAGGCATGAACATTTATCGAACTTTTGTTAAAATTATATCGCGATAATTATCGTTATCGAATTATCACAAGGCTCTACGCCTGCGGTTGCCTTGGTAGGGCCAGACCAAATGATACGGCCTGCGGGCTGGACATTCCCCACCCCTGGCCTAGGGTAATGAACCCAAGACATGTTCACCACAGAACATGAACCTCAGATACTCAAGTGGAGATGCTCCTTCCACTTTGTCCTGTGAAAACCTGCATCCTTTACTGCTTGGTCACCTGCATATAAGCCCTTTAAAAATGTCTGCAGAAGATCTCCTTTCCAACCATCACGGTATCTCATGGACTTGCTGGAAGGAAAGCAGACCATACTGTTTTTCGCTTCTCTGTCCTGAATGTTTGTTCTGACTACTATGATGTAGCTAGACGAATTAATGACTTGCATTATCATAGCCCTTGAGAAAACTGATGGAGTACAGTCTGCCTACCAGTTTACACAATAAAACCATGTCACTCAAACACTCCTAGTGAGAAGTATCTTGCAGCATTGTAGCCCTTTTAAATTAACTGCAATCTGTATTTTGGGGTTTTCCCATAATTTTCAATTCATAGAGCCTACTGTACTTGTATCTCGTGTTGAAACATCAGCCTATCATTGTTTCTTAAAGGCTGGGACAAAACTGTTATTACAAATCTATCAATTCCCATTGTCCTCAATATAATACATGAATCCTTGAGCACCGGCATTGTACCAACGGTCATCAAAACTGCTGCTATTCCCCCAGTGCCAAAGAAGCCTAACATGGCTCTCGACAATCTTAACAACTTTCGCCCCATCTCCAACTTACCCTTTCTCTCTAAAATTCTAGAACATGCTGTCACACTTCAGTTACATAACCACCTCATGACAAACAACCTTTTCGAACCTCTCCAATCTGGCTTCCGTCAACTTCACAGCACAGAAACCGCCCTAGTCAAAGTCACCAACGATCTCCTAATAGCTTCTGATTCTGGTTCTCTTTCCATACTCATCCTTCTTGATCTCAGTGCTGCCTTTGACACTGTTGACCATAACATCTTACTTTCTCGTCTCGAGACTATGTTTGGAGTCTTTGACACTGCCCTCAAATGGTTTAAGTCTTACCTCACTGATCGCTGTCACTTTGTCTCTCTCAATGGGTACAGGTCTGAAATTGGTCTTGTCAAGTCTGGTGTCCCCCAGGGCTCAATACTGGGCCCCTTGCTCTTCAGCATTTACATGTTCCCACTTGGTCAGCTTTTAAGATCACATGGCCTCAGCTTTCATTTTTACGCTGACGATACTCAAATATACATCCATACCAAACCCGACACTGATGTGGCTGTCTCTATTCTATCTAATTGCATCTCTGACATAAAAATTTGGATGACTCAAAACTTCCTTCATCTTAACTGTGACAAGCCTGAAGTCATGCTTATTGGTACCCCCCACCAACTTCGTAAAGCCAGTCCTATAACCCTGTCTGTAGATGGCTCTGTACTTGAGCTTCAATCAAAATTGAAAAACCTTGGGGTTATATTCGATTCTGGCTTAACATTTGACCCACATGTACAGCATACTGTCAAAACATCTTTTTTCACCTTAGAAATATCGCAAGACTACGCCCTATGCTATCATTAACTGTGGCTGAAAAGCTGATCAACATATTTGTATTCTCTCGAATTGACTACTGCAATGCTCTACTCCCTGGGGTATCTAAATCCACTCTGAACAAGCTGAAGTATGTCCAAAATTCAGCAGCCAGAATCCTGACCAGGTCTAGTGCAAGTGTTCATATTACTCCTATCCTGGAGTCCTTGCACTGGCTTCCGGTCAAATTCCACGTAGACTTTAAAATCCTCATGCTCACCTACAAGGCTTTACATGGCTTGGCACCTCAATACCTGTCTGAACTTTTATCTCCCTACTCCCCACCTCGCAACCTCCGCTCTTTAAATTCTGCCCTCCTTACTGTCCCCCAAGCCCGTCTACATTGTATGGGCGACAGGGCCTTCTCCTGCTATGCCCCCAAGCTCTGGAACTCTTTGCCCAAGGATATTAGAGAGTCACCTTCTCTAAACTCCTTCAAATCCAGACTCAAAACCTTCTTCTTCAGAAAAGCCTTTACTTAACTGGTTCCATTCTTCACCCCTCTGCTCTTCTTAATACCATCTTCCACGGTCTCCTCTATTGTTATTGTTGTAATTATAATTGTGTCCTATCTTGTGAAATTTTCTTATTTATTGTTGTAGTCTTCTTATTTATGGTTATTGTCATCCTGTAAAGCACTTTGAGAAGCCACCTTTAAAGGCACTATATAAAATAAAGTTTGTTATTATTATTATCAACCCATTAAGAATTGGAATTTCAAAATATTCAAGATTATGCAGTTCTGAACCTAAAATGCTGCATTTCTTCTTATAATCAACATTAAATGAGAACTATTAAATGTTAAAAAAATATTGTGAATTTTCTGTAAAGATGGGATTTAGAACTAAAGATTTTAGCTAACACATTTCAAGATGGTTGTTTAATGGGAAAACATTTATTAAATACCATACTTCACAAACCTCTGTTGTAATTATTTTCACTGCATAACTAATAGTTCTTTTTCTACTCCTTTTCCACCAGCCTTTGTGTAAAAATGTCTTTCTCATTTTGAGATTTAAATACACATCAAAGGAGTTCCCACGTCTAATCTCCGATTCTCGTGTCACAGTTGATACAGAAAAATTCCATTAGCTGAACCAAATGAGGATCATTAACTGGATCAGATCCCTTGTAGTTGTCTTCCCTGTTGAAACTAAAAAGGTTATAACTTGTCAAAATGCATCTTTAAGACAGGGCATGCATCTTGTTTTTCCTCTTTGGACTAAATTCAGAGAAGCTGTACCTTTTTTACATGGTGATCACAATTATTCTTTATTTAAATTCTATGCTTACGATACATTATTGTCAAAATCCACCAATCCCAGTGAGAAAGATAATGGACTCAAGACTTGTTCATTTTTTGAGTTAGTATTTTTTGTATTTACCGTCAAGAACAAAGGTAAATACGATAGATTTAAGGTCCGAGTACAATGCCTTCGGTTGTGCTTTTCAGAGGATCTGCTAAAGAACGTTTTTTTTTCTTAAACAAATCATGATCAGAAACTTTTTATATGATAGTTCAAAGCAATTATATTTCAATGTGCAATGTGAAGTACTGCGTTTACTTTACTTAGTGCCGTACCTTGGACAGGACAAGGTCTTCCTTTGGGAACGCTGTCCACTCCAGTGACAGTGAAGGTCCCCGTCTCGTCCAGCAGCGTTACAGAAATACACCCAGTCTGCTGCACCGCCAGCACTGTTCCTTGCATCCACACCACGGAGATAAGCAGTGGAGTAGCAGTCCCAACCCCTTGTCTCTTCACGGCAAACACAGTCCTGCCGCTTCGACCCGGGATCATGCGCGCTTCCCTAAGTTGGCTGGATAGAACTTTAACCGGAGAACTCTGAACTGCTCCAGCGTCTATCCTCCGACATTGGTCCATGCTGTTATCACACCGATATAGTTAAACTATGATAGACTACAACGTCTTAATCGAATTTATTGCTGACCCCTACTGGCCTGGAGGACATCTTCACCCTGGCAATCTGAGTCGGGCAATCTCAATTCCAAGGACAACTGTTTTAAGGTTTTCAATTTAAGAGCAGTAACGTCATACAACTGTGTGATAGTCATTTACTTTCCTTCAAACTAAAGCAATAAATAATAATTAAACTTAAAATCAAGTCCCTTCACAAAGTTAACACGGGAGGAAGTAGTAATATGGTTGTTGTATTGGCATTACACTAGTGCTCAGAATTATTCAAACAAATCACACCTTCATCTGAGACATTTGTTTCAAAATATATTTTTAATTTCAGCTTTTAACAAGGAAATTAGTAGTTACAAAATTAGCATCACTGACCCAAGATTGGTGTTCTCAAACTTCAATTTGTGGATTGTTCTCAATGTATTCAATTACAAACAATTAATCAAAATCAATATGACATACAGTATACATCAAATAAATCAAAAGATTTTTGTTATTATTAACAACACAAACAGTTATAGTTCAATCACTTCATTGTAGTTTTTGGCGATAAAAGCTGAACAGTATTAGTTCCACAGTAATATTTAGTATTGAAAATATTTATTTTCAATATCATATTAATAAATGTATTACTAGATTTTTAAAACATATATTAACAGAAAGAGGAAATGTTAATGCACATATGTAAATTATTTGGGAATGAAATAATTCCACATAACAATTAAACTAAAATGAGATCAAACTTGGAAAAAAATTAAAATACCCTAAAAAGAGCACTGCATTTGATCAAAAAAAATTTAGCCCTTTAAATTTATATTTAACCAGTCAGTTCCAAACAACACATGGAAAATAAGAAGTATATATATACATTAGAACAAGTAATAGGTTTATTCCATGCTGAAAAAAAGAAAAGAGAAAACACAACGTTTTGGACGTGGAGCCTTCTTCAGGTGTGAGAGAGACAAGGCAGTAGGCAAAGGTAATGTAGAGGGAGAACAAAGGCTGGGAGGTAGGAGGAGTGAGAGGCGGGAGCAGGGGACAGGAAGAGAGGCCAGTCAAGAGGTGTGAAGTCAGAATAGGTGTAGAGAGGTGTGAAATGAAACCTCCAATGAATGGAGAAAATTTAAAAGAAGAGTAGTCTGTCGTTAAGAGAAGGGGGAATGTGTGATCGTAGCTGCAGGATAAGTTTGGTTTTGGTGGTCTTTCTGATGTTTGAGTTCGGAAAACCATCTTTGAGAACACAGACGGAGAGATTAGAGTGGTCGTGGACGTCAGAGGTGAAATAAGAAACAATGGGCTTGGAGAGATCTTTAATCTTCACAGCCCTGACTTGAACTTGAACTTGAACTTGAACTTGAACTTGAACTTGAACTTTATTGCCATATGTAACCGGTACTGGTACAATGGAATTCTTACTTACAGAAAGTCTCTCAATTGTAAAACAAGTGTAAAAAAACAAAACAAAGTGCAAACAGTGCATCAAGACAATGTACAAACAAACAATAGACAACGTGCAAGTAAACATGCAGGCAGTTTGAATGTAAACAATACAGACGTGTAAACAATGACTGGAGACGTACAATAAATAAATTACAATGAGGTAGATGGTGATGGTGTGGGTGTGGTCCGAGGGGGATGGCTAAATGTGTTCGCCAGTCTCACTGCTTGTGGATAGAAGCTATTGAAGAATCTAGTGGTAAGTGTCCGTATGCTCTTATATCTCTTGCCTGAGGGCAGTGGGGTGAAGAGCTCATGCCCTGGGTGGTGACTGTCCTCTGTGATGGCCAGAATTCTACCACGGCAGCGGTCTTCATAGAGCTGTTTAATCTCGGTGAGACCGCAGCCAATGATCTTCTGGGCCATATTGACCATTCTCTGCAGTGCCTTTCTTTCTCGCGAAGAGGTGTTGCCATACCGTTGGTGAGGACGCTCTCGATAGTGCAGCGGTAGAAGTTCACCAACACATGTATTGGCATCCCCCATCGCTTGAGGCACCTCAAGAAATAAAGGCGCTGCTGAGCCTTCTTCATGATAGAGTCAGTGTTCACAGTCCAGGTTAGATCTTTAGAGATGTGAATTCCCAAAAACCTAAAGACATGTTCTCTGAAGCGGTCTCTGAGTCTCCTTCCTGTTTCTCCAATGTAGATGGCTGGGCATTTACTGCAAGAGATACAGTAAATAAGGTTGCTGGAGGTACAAGATGCTGTCTGGGTGATGGCACCTGAACTATATAGCCACCTGAATTATATACACATTATTCTCAAATTATTTATTAATCTATTACTGAGTATATTTCCTTAATACATTAGGCCTTAAATCACAAAAGAATGTGCGAGGTTATGGCTGTTACCCCGAAGAGCAGAATCTGAAATAGTTGACGAGAGTTCTGGACTGGTGCCCCTGCAGCTAAATACAGAGAAGGAAAACAATGTAATTTCTCCCATAGTTGATTAAAAGTGCTAATTAGTCAACTACTATATATATAAAATATAACATAACTATATAATATAGGATTATAAAAATAAAGCTGCTTCATTTTTTTTTCTCCTTTAAAAGAAAACACCAAAGATTGGAGTAGAATTATTAGGCCCAGTAAAGGTTTGGTTATTACAGGTGTGGGGATCTCTGGGAGCTGGAGTGGGAGCCCATCGTAGACCTTGAATTACCACCAGGAGTTTGGAGTATTTCATTTGTGAATGTCCCTGAGCCCAACTACCACAGTCGAAGATCTTCTACTGCATCTTTAATCCTTCAATAAGTCTCCCATTTAGACCCTTAATTATTTAAATTAGTCTTCTCCTTAAGTTCTACTTAAGTCCTGACATTGCTGCCAATACCAGAATTGAGTGGTACTTCCATTTGTATTGTTTTTTAAAAGTTTTTTTAATCAAATTTTTAAAGCTAGATAAAACCATTAATAATGCGTGATTTCAAAATGTTTACTCTGACACATTGGATAAAATACTCTGCAAAAAATCTCATAAATGAATCACAATGCTATGACCCTGAAGTAGATCCTTTGAGAAAATAACTACAAATAAGTACAAAAGGCTGATTTTGCCTAATAAGCATTCACTGCAATGATTATAAAAAGGGTATAATATAAGTTTTTCAGTCAGCGCACAAAAAAGGGAAGAAAAAGCATCAGTTATATTTAAAGTTTGGGACTTTCTCATCAATTCTACAGTGTTTACAAAAGACACCTGTTTGCTTCTCCTAATGATGTTAAATAGCTATGTATTACTTGATTTTTGTTAAAGGGGAATTAAATGTGGTATTCCAGATAGAATAAATAATGATGGTTTAAAATCTTAATAATCTTAATATTTAATATACATTGAATATACAAATACATATAAAAAATGATCATATAAATCTCATATCTCTGTTAACCAAAATACCGTTTTTATCAAGTCTATTAAAAGTGTGAATGTCCATGTTGAGGTTCTATTCAGACATTATCCTTATATCGTCTAGAGCAGTGGTTCTCAAACTGTGGTACGTGTACCAGGAGTGGTACGCGGAGCACCGCCAGCTGGTACTCCATATGACCCTGGAACTTTGTTGTGTGCGCTGAAAAATCGGGACAGGTTTTCATATTTTCTATTTTAGTACTTGTCGAATACGCAGCCTACGTACTACGATACAGCGCGCGCTAATACTTGAGTGGCCACAGAGCTACAGTGTAATTCTATACCACTCTATAGGAGTTCCTGCTAGGAACGTGAGTGACCAATTGTATTAAAAAAAAGCTATCTCCAGCAAATAGGGAGGTAGGAGAATGTGCGTGATTTTGGAACAATACCAATGTTGTAAACACAGGAATGCATAGAAATGCGTGCTACGAACGCTGGTTATCTTGTGAGCACAGGAAAGCGTGATAGATAACAAAAAATATTTAAGAACTGTTCTAGGTTAATTTGAGAAAAATACACTGAGCGGCTCTGTGTTTCGCTCCCACGCGCATGAAATAAAAACGTCTTTTAACTTCTGAGACAGACTCCTGAAACGGGGAAAAATGCAAGCTTGCGGATTGCTAAAGCAGGTAAGCCCAACACTATTTTTGAAGAACCTTATTTACCATTGACAAAAGAGCTGACACGTATTATGTGTGGAGTAAAAGCTGATAAAGCAGCTGCTAAACAGGGGACCTGCTGCCCCCTCCGAAAGACAGTTACTCATAGAATTATTGAAATGACGGATGATATCAAAAGTACGCCGATAGAGCGTGTTAAGATGAGCAGATGCTTTTCACTGCAATTAGATGAATCTGTAGTCGATTTGGCCAATTTGATTGTTTACGTTAGATATGAGTTTGAGGGTACGTCCCATGAGGACTTTCTGTTCTGTAAGCCGCTACCAACAGGAACTACAGGAGAGCACATATTTCAGCTTCTGAATGATTTATCGAAGAGAATGGCATCGACTAGATAAAATGCGTCGGAGTTTGTACAGATGGTGCTAGAGCAATGACAAGCCGACACAGCGGTGTAGTTGCACGAATTAGAGAGGTTGCTTCAGAAATGAATGGACGCATTGCAACATCCACCGCGAGGCCTTGGCCGTCAAGAAAATGCCTGACGATTTAAAATCTGTTAGACTCTGTTGTGAATTGTATCAAGGCTCGAAAAATTAATTCACATCTGCTTTGCTCGACTAAACAGGCTCACTCCTGTCACTGAAATGGTGCTTTTTTATTGTTTATTTTTATTTGTTATTGTTCCTGTTTTTTTTCTGTAAAGCGCTTTGAGAAGCCACCTTTAAAGGCGCTATATCAAATTAAGTTTATTATAATATTTATTATATGTGTATGTGAGTGTGTGCGCCCACATGCACTCATGTTGGTCATTGAGATTTTCTGGGGTACCTATGAGAAGATGACTTGTAGGTGGTACTTGGATGCTTTGGTTTAATCAGGGGTGGTACTTGGTCCAAAAAGTTTGAGAACCACTGGTCTAGA